TCATGTAACCTCCAAATCCTGAAACAAGAGTTGGTAATAACTTCTGCTTCTCGTTGTGCTTCCTTCCCTCAAAACATAGACTAAAATTTTTGCTATGATGCTTGAGCAGACTCTTGGCCTTGCTCACAGCGAACGCTACCATGTTCCACAGGAACAGAGAGTGGCTTTGCTCATGGATCAGGGCTCTGAGACGTTCATAAATTGCGCACAATCTGGTCATTCACAATTCATTACAAATGAAAAAAGAAAATCATAAACGGGAAGGAAAACATCTCAGCAAGTTGCGGGTGCCAGCAGAAAAGGGGGAGGGTGGGCCCGGGGGTGCCCCGCTCCCGGTGCTGAGCCCCGGCCGGAGGGCGCTCCCGGGCGGCGGGGGCAGCGCGGGGACTGGGCGCCGCCCGGAGCTGCTGGGGCCGCCGCCTTGAGCGGGCACAAGACGCTTGGCTTCCCCAACGGGCCGCTGAAAAAGCAGTCCGGGATAACCGGGTAGCTAGAAATTCCTCAGTGGCTGTCTCGGGGCTGTTTTAGCCTTCTTGTATTTAAACCCGCCGTAAACAAACGGGTTGGAGAGGACTTTGCAGTTGCCGTGGCTTGTCACTGGTGGTTTTGGAGAATGCTGGTCGAGTAACGTGCTTCCCTCTTGACTGGGTACAAGCTGAGCAGAAGTCAGGATTTCCTCATTAGAGGACAGTAGCTGCCAACAAACCTGCAATCGAAAGTCAGAAATGTTGTTACTGGTAGTGAGATCATCTGGATGCTTAATTACTGCTCCTGACTCCCTGAAGGCCTGTCTGAACTAGCCAAAAAGTCTTGAGGGAGCAAGGATGGCTTAACGCGGGGTTGGAAGTCTGAACCTGCTACCTGTGGAGCTCTCGAAGGAGACCTGGGCAGCATGAAGCTCTAGGCTGGCCCGGTGAGAGCGGCTGGTGGCAGGAGCACAGGCTTGAACACTCCCGCGCACAGAGCTGCTTTAGGTCATCAGCCCTTCTCCCCCTAGCTGCCTTCTGGGCACCACTGCCTCAGGGTAGCCCTTGCTGTGGGGTAGTTGAAGAAGTATTGCCGTTCTTACCATGTAAACCATCATGAGAATGGAAATATCTTCTGTGGAAGAGACCACAGTCACCTTGAAGCACAGACTTAAGTTTCTTTTTGCTTTTCATTTAACGAATACCCAGAGCCCTTATCAGAAGATTTGAATCAGCTAATGGTTGCCAGATCGTCTAATACTTCATCTCCCTTGGGAAGAAAGGGTGCAATTGCACCCTGTGTTGCCCAATATTACATGGGAAATCTGGGGCAAAGCTGGAAACTTGATCCAGGTCCTCACCTCTAGTATGCATGGAAACTAAATAATTGCTCGCTAACAAAATGATTAAAATAGTTTAGACTCATGTAAATGCACAAAAGAACGTGAGTGTGGGGATGGTGAGAGGGAAACACAGAAGTAGTTCTTGCATCAAATACCGTTTACATTTTGGAAAGGAATCCAAAGTAGAAAGGAATCTCTTCTCTTTTTTCCATTTTTTTTTTTCTTTTTTTTCCAGGCCATGCATTCCTTTTCCAAAGCTTTGTGCAGCCTATATTCCCTTTAACTAAGGACGCTCTTTTCCATGATTGATGTCAGCTGCTGTGCGGTAGCACAGCCAAGCACTTGAATAAAAGAAATGGAATCTTAATTTTTAGACTCTACAGTTGTGCCAAGAATGACAAAGGCAAAGTGGGAAATGTCATAAAACTAATTTTATGAGCTTGGTCAGGGTATTAGTGCTAAACCATGGAACAGTAATGGTGCTAATCCCGTAGAAGTATTAAACAAAGGGATAGCTCAGTAATTAGTGTCAGTGTGCAAATGGTGCTGCTCAGCTGCTCTGAGGAAGTTTCCTAAGCCTTTGCTTAGGAATGTACCTAAGATGCCCCAATTTAGGTTAATAAACTAATCTTATTTTCCCACATGCCATGAATGGCTGTCTGCTTGTCTTGGACAAAGGTCTTGTAGCAGCTACTTGGCAGCAGCTCTTACTTAGGAACCACACAACCTTCCCTGCATCCCTAAAACTGCTGAACTGCTGGTCAGACTGCTTGGGCAGGAGGCTTGTTTTAGCAGGACTGGCAAGATGGGTCACTTAATTCAGGCGTAGCCAGAACTGCTGCTCTGAGATGTGATTTGTGAGTCTCCTCTACCTTGTTTGGGGAGCACAAGGCAGCAGCCGGGCATCTGCAAGACCCCTCATTCTGCACTGAAGTCTCTCCCACGTGTCAGTGAGAGCTGCTTGTAGAAATAGCATCTTGAAGCAAAGCAGTCCTCTGTGAGTCATGGCAGTGTTTCCAGTTCCTCTCTGTTGGCCAGGGGGATAACTGGATGTTGGTAGTCCTCTGGTGCTGGTTCAGAGGGATAAGTGGCAAAGCTGACTGAAGGCAGCAGGTCATGTGGGGCATGTGTGGGGATGCTGTCGTGTGTCTCTTCTCCCTGTCTGGCCAACATAGGAGAGCCTCTAAGGGTGACTGAAGGTGCGTTGTGCAGAGAGAAGCTAGCAGCTTTCGACAGATCCCTCCCTCCCTCCCTGATAGCTGACCTGTACTGCAGTGCTGCTGTGGGGAGCCTGCTGGGAGGGAACAGTGCTGCTGGTGGGGTAGGGTGGCAGGGGGTGCCCTCTGGGCTTCCAGTGGACAAACCCATGGACCTCACCCAGAAATCTTGTCTGAAACAAAGGTCATGAAGGAGCAGGGGGAGGGTGATGAGGCCTGAGCAGCGCTGCTGGCTTAGGATCACAGAATTGATAACCCTCAATTATTGATTGTTTGGCTGCTGTTGACCTCTGTGATTATGAAAGGTGGTCCCCTGGTGGTGAGCTCCGGGGGAGCAAACCAGCATTAACCAATGGTTGCAAGTCATGGCCAGGTCAGCAATGACTGAGAGATGAGCCTTCAGCTAACACTGCTATGTTAGTTTGTGGTGGTGGGAGGAAGAAAGCCCCAGAAAAGCCAAAGGTGGTGGGCAGTACTCTGCTTTGGTGCTTTAACCCAGGGCTGTTAATAGGAGGAGCAGGAGGAGCTCCCAGTTGAACTGGGAGGGAACTGCTGGTGGTGATGGCATGAGTGCAGGGAAGCTGGGGAGGGGGCAGCTCAGCTTGAGGTGGGACAGTTGCTGCTTCTGGCTTGATGTAGGAGACTGTTCCCAAGACTGTAGTTTGACATGATGGATGATGGTGCCTGTCCCTCCCTGCTAACCTTCTGTCCTTTGCAAGTAATGCGTGAGAGTGAGTTTTACTTTATTTTAAAGCAGCTGTGGCTCCTTGAGCAGTTGGGTTTGGTTCATATACCTGTCTGGTAAAGGTGCAGTTCGTGTAATAGTGGTGGAGTCCCTGGGAAATAATCCCCCTTAAGCTTCTTTGAAGTGCAGGCATGATTTTAAAGGAGTGCAGAATGTCCCTACAGCCCTAGTAAGTGGTTCTTCGATGAGGTGAACTTTGGCTTTGACTGCATCCCAAATGATAGGCCCTGCGGTAAAATGAAATGTCGTTGTTGGCACAATTGGTTTGCTTCCATCAGACAAGAGGCCCACTGTTAATGAAGCATAGAAACTGAAATTATATCCATCTGGGGGGGTGTTTGCTCAAGGTACAGTAAAGCCCTTGTGCATGAAACTATAATTTGTGCGTATCCAATTTACGTAACTTTCAAAACTCTGGGCAAGGACAGGAGGACACGTCTCGTGAAGACTGTGTCTCTGTTTTTCTTGCTGTTCAGCAGCAGCAGTGGCCTCTGTTCCCCTTGCCAGTCCATCTGCTTTTACAAACAGCTGTAGAGAGCCTGCCTAAGCCTTTAAGTCTAGTCTGGGATCTGAAGGGCTGAGAAATTGATCTGATCACAAAAACTTCTCATGTGGTGGAACGTCACTCACGTTTTTAAACCATTGGCGAAATTGCAGGCTTGTGCTCTGATATACAAACTTCATACACCTGGGTTCAAGGAGCCTGTAATGCCAGCTGTCCTTGAGCTGGGGTGGTGGATGACACTGTGATTAATAAATCTCTCCCCTTCTCCCCTCCTGCCTGGCTGGGCGCACAGAGCCACCATGCCGAACTGGGGAGGTGGCAACAAATGTGGTGCCTGCGGCCGCACCGTCTACCATGCCGAGGAGGTGCAGTGCGACGGGAGGAGCTTCCACCGGTGCTGTTTTCTCTGCAGTAAGTGTTCCCTGCCCACTCCCCCGCAAAACCTCTCCTGGCATCACTGTGGAATCACAACAGCAAGGTGTTGGTCTACTGCAGACGTCCCAGGCTCAGCTGGCACCTGTGATGCACAGGGGATGGCAGCAGCCAGAGATGGCTTTGTCCATCACGTGTTGGGCTTGACTCCTGTGCCTCCCAAAGCAGAGCACATCATGCTTTTCTCCTCCGTTTGCCCCCCTTCCCAGCCTTCTCAGGAGTCTAAGGGATCTTTAGGATGGAAACCTGGCTTAAGTGTCACTCACACAGAGAAGAAAGCCCAGTAGCAGAACGCCTTTTGCACTGATCTGAGCTCAGCTGGACTTCTTCTGGTGGTCCTGGGGCTGGCAGCAGCTGAGAACAGTTATCAAGCCCCTGCCCTGAAGTCCCGTGCAGACGGGGACACTGACGTGCCTGAGCACAGCCGAGTTGTTGGTGCTTTAGCATGGCTGAAAGCCTAGACTTTCTTGGCACAGGCGTCTGTGGTTTATTTCAGATGAAAGAAGTCCAAAGCATTGTTTTCCAGTCCAACCAACAAGCCCAGTGAGGCATTGAAAATAGCTTTCTCTGCTGAAAAGACCTCTGCCTAGATGAAGAGAACAAAGGGTCGCTGTGAATTGGAGGCTACTGCTTTGCAAACAGACAAGCCTGTCTGTCTGAATCAGAGAATTTTATCTTCTTACAAACATGAGGTACTGTTTTGTCCTGCTTGCTGGTGTTTAATACCTACAGGCAGAGCCTCCCTCTTCATATAAGCCACAGTTAGAATGGGCCCTCTCACTAGTTTGCAGCACGATGTCTGCAGCATAACATCAGTGTAGTGTGCTGGCATGTGAGCCTCGGCGCACCTACGCTCCATTCCCTTAGCTCTGCAGCAGTCACAAAAAAAGATTAGATGTCTCGGCTGCCTCATTTTCAGCCTTTTATGGTAGTTTCTATTAAAAGAAACCTGGAACTAAACAGTCAAACAATGGCTCTAGTGTGTCTGATTATTTGCTTTTTCTTAGTGCATAGTCCTACTGGGGTTAAAGTCTGTAGACTTAACAAACATGCATTAGTTGATTTACTTATTGGATATTTGTATCTTGTAAAAAGAACCTTGAAGCTAATGAATGCCATAAGCAAAGGTCACACTGTATTTTGAAGACCTTAAAACTCTTTTTAAACAAAAAAATTCTTAAGACTTGTGTTCCATTACACACACACACACTTCTTTGTCTTGGGCATAATGCTGTTGTGGACTGAAAGACCATGCCAGTTAGGACACAAAAGAAGGTTTAAGAAGGAAATAGTTCTTCTACTGTAACCTTGAGCAGAGTGCTTGCATTGTGCTGAAGGACAATGCAGGAATGCCAGAAAAGCACAGTATCTCCAGTGACAGCTGTGAAAAAGTCCCAGCTCTGCTCCAAACTAGTACCAAGACAGGGGGAAAACCTTGAAGTTTGTTTTGTTTTTGTTTTTGTTTTTTTTCCACAGCCCCACCTTGGCCAGAAGGACAGGACAGGGGCTCTTCTGCACTCATAGATTTTTGCTTTATGCTCTATGGCATCTGTGAAGGGAAACTGCTGACTGCACTATCTGGGTTTCTGAGCAGCCTCATCTGTCAAACCACAGCAAGTTTCCAGGCTTTAAATGTCATGGTCATGAAGAGGTGGGAGGGAATGGAGGCCTTTACAGGGCTAAGCATAATTCATTAATTCAAACAACCTGCTTCCCCTAATCACTGGCTGTCCCACAACCTAATAAGAGGAATTATGGACAAGGAAACGCATAACATCACTTGTCACTTGATTTTTTGGCTTACTACATGTGCTCATACAAATGCTCCCTTAAGATAGTTTAAACTTTTTTTTTTTCCCCTCCAGTGGTCTGCCGGAAAAATTTGGACAGCACAACTGTAGCAATTCATGATGCTGAAGTTTACTGCAAGTCTTGCTATGGAAAAAAGTATGGCCCGAAAGGTTATGGATATGGCCAAGGGGCAGGCACGCTGAACATGGACAGGGGAGAGAGACTGGGCATCAAGCCTGAGAGGTGAGTGAACTGAGCTGGGTGCTGTGTGACCCTTGTCCTTCAGTACTGTTTTCAGAGGAGTCTTTCAGGCAAGGTTTTCTATTCCAGACAACATGAATCAAATGCTGAAAAATGCCCCAGTATAATCGAATGCAGGGCATTTAACCTGCAGTGCACGAAACTTCCACTGGTGACTATGTGAGTAGGCAGTGTATGAGCAGGAATTACTGCAGGTAAAGATGCACTAACCCTATGCATGAGCCATAGGGGACTGGATTACAGAGCTGCTGATGGCTCCGCACAAGTCTGAGGAGGTGACTGTGGGTCTTGAGTTGCTCTCCTAAATAAGCTGCAAATGCAAATGTTCAACAGGTTATGGCAGGGATGGATTTAGAGAGCTGAGAATCTGAGGCTACAAGAATGAATTTTTAACTGGCAAATGAAGAATCATTTCTGCTTAATTATAGCCAAAACCAAGAGGCCTAATAAATAGTGAACATTCCTAGCCTGATTAAGTTCTTGCTGTAAAGCAAAGCATGTGGAATGAAGCTGAGGTATGCTTCACAAATTGCTTTGTATAAGTTTCCAAATTATTGCTTGATGTTTATATGATATATGTGCTCCACCCAGGTTCAGTGATCAGTTCAGGTTCCAGATTATGATCAGTGGACAGGAATTTAACAGAATTATTTGTAACTCCCCATCTGATAAATCCACATCCTGATACAGAATTCAGCAGTTCTAGAGAAGTGAAAAGGTGAAGGCTCTTTAGAAAACTGGCTTTTACAGTAGCTTCTTTTTATGCTTTGAAGCATGGTCTTTCTCTTCTTGTTTTATGTTTGTTTTTTTTTTCCCCGCCAAGTGTAATTGATAGCCTTGCTGGTAACTTACTTCACCAGTTTTGCAGAAATACTGTATTCTGTACTGTGTGTTGGATACTGCTCTGTCAGGGTTGTTAAGAAGAGCAAGAGGTCATTTAGTAAAAGAGTAAAGACAACAAATGTCCTGTTTCTTTCAGCACGCCCTCTCCCCACAGACCCACAACAAATCCAAACACTTCAAAGTTTGCTCAGAAGTTCGGAGGGGCAGAGAAATGCTCCAGGTGTGGCGATTCTGTTTATGCGGCAGAGAAAGTAATAGGGGCTGGAAAGGTAAGGAACTGCATGCTCTGTTTTGTACCTGCTACGTGGACTTTAACGTGAACAAGGTACGTTATGTGGGTTTCAGTAGGGAACCGTGAGGCAGAATTACCTTAAAATTGCATTTCTTAGCATTGGAAATAGTCAAATCAATCAGCTTAACAAAAAGCACTTGAAATACAGGATGATGAGGGCTTACCCTGGGCTTCAGAGGTGAAGCTTCAATATCGTCTTGTGCCAGAGACTTGAAGCAGACTATGGGAGTGCTTTCCCCCCAGAAGAAGGGAGCAGTCTTGTGGTGTGCAGCTTTTGGTAAAGGCTGAATATTTCAGTAGAAAGGGGATGGTCTCTGAAAATTCTGTGTAAAACTGAGCCAGCTGTCTGACTTGATACAGAGAGCCAAGATCTGCTCTGAGTTGATTAGAGTAAGCCCTAACCTTTCAAAATGTTGCCCTGAGCAGGACACAGTGTGGAATTCGGGGCTTTGCATCACTCGCAGAAATGCAGATGCTCTCATCTGCTACTGATGCACTTGAACTGGTTTTTATTGCACCAGTCATCTATAAACGGTATTGATGCAAGCATCTCCAGTTAATGCATTTTTTTTTACCAAGTCAGGCATTCTGTGTATTTAAACTATCTTTTTCTTTCTTTTTTTTTTCCCTAGCCATGGCACAAAAACTGCTTCCGATGTGCCAAGTGTGGAAAAAGCCTAGAATCTACAACCCTAACTGAAAAGGAGGGAGAAATCTATTGTAAAGGTGAGGAAAGAAACAAAGATCATTTATTTATGGTTCAAAGTAATTGGCTTGGATTAGAAATAGTGTGACCAGCAGAAGTAGGGAGGTGATAGTCCCCCTGTGCTCTGCACTGGTGAGGCCACACCTGGAGTATTGTGTCCAGTTTTGGGCACCTCAATATGAGAGAGAAACCAAGGTGCTGGAGCGAGTGCAGAGGAGGGCAACGAAGCTGGTGAAGGGCCTGGAGAATAAATCCTATAAGGAATGATTGAAAGAGTTGGGACTGTTTAGTCTGGGGAGGAGAAGGCTGAGGGGAGACCTCATCACTCTCTACAACTACCTGAAAGGAGATTATAGAGAGGTTGATGCTGGTCTCTTCTCACAGGTAATTAGCGATAGAACAAGAGGGAACGGCTTTAAACTGCAACAGGGGAGGATCAGACTGGACATTAGGAAAAAATTTTTCACAGAGTGGTCAGGCAGTGGAATAGCCTGCCCAGGGAGGTGGTGGGGTCACCATCCCTGGATGTGTTTAAGGGTCATTTAGATGAGATGCTGGGGGATACGGTGTAGGGGAGAACTTTGTAGAGTAGGGCTGATGGTTGGACTCAATGATCCCAAGGGTCTTTTCCAACCTGAATGATTCTGTGATTCTGTACTGTGTTACAAGGATGGATGCTGAATTTATTCCTGATATAAGAAACTTTCAGGCTCCTGTCAAGATGGGAATGTTCTCTAAGTCATATGAATAGAGCTGAGAAATAAAGTACATATTGAAGCTGCTGACGTAGCTTGCATTTGCATCAAGCAAAACTGAGAAATGCAGCAGCAGCTCGTGCTCTCTGCCTGCGTCAGTGAGGAAAGAAGCTAGGAGGAGGCATCCTGCCATCATCACTTGATCCACACTGGTTTGATGTACTGATGACAGTATATGTCTTAACAGATACCTAGCCACAGAACTAAGTTATGAATTGCTTTCACAGAGTAGGTTGGGAGCTATATGGACCAAACTGTCATGGCTGTTGAGTTCAGGCATGGTGGTTCCGCAGCTTAACAAAATGTTTTTTCCAACAGGGTTGCTTCCAGTGGGAATGTTCTTGGGGACTAATAGGAAGTGACTGAGGGAGTTAGCCTAGACAGTGCTGTTCTTAATGATTGAGTCAGAAGCCTCAGCTTCCACATGTTCATCTTTCTTGCAGGTTGTTACGCGAAGAATTTTGGCCCCAAAGGATTTGGGTATGGCCAGGGAGCAGGCGCCCTAGTTCATGCCCAGTGAAGGGGGCACAGCTCAAAGTCCCTTCAGAACCCCTTACGGCTCTGCTGAGATCCTGCTACAAGAAACAAAAGTTTCCTAAATATTACTAACTACTGTGAAACAGATACTAGTTACTGTAGTGCTTGGGCATACATTCAGCAGATTTTTTTTTTTTAAAAAAAAAAGCACTGCTTTTTTCCTTGCTTTGTATATCACACTGTAACACTTTTAATACTGAGTATCAAGTCAGTAAAGCTTTGCTTGTTGATATATCCTGAAGTCAAGTGTTACATGCTTTGTCAGCAATAAAAGTATAGGAAGTGGGCTTGGGGTACTTCGGGGTGGAGATATGATGCTACAGACTTGGCCTTCAGGGAAGGTCTGCACCCAGCGTGACTGGAAGCTGGACATACTGAGCACTGATCATGGCCTTCAGAGGTTGGACAACTGTCTCCCAGTATCACACCATCATATGCATGTGCAAGGCAACTTGCTGCTCACTGCACAGAAGTAGTAAATCTTAATCTACTGCTCTGAAAGAGATACCGTGTAAGTTGCTGGTGTGCCTCAGTGGCTGACTGTTGCCATAGAGACTCTAGTGAATGGAAAACAAACTTTACCACTGTAATATTTTGTGGGATTGCACCTGCTTTGGTATTGAGGTTCAAGGTAATTGGCTTGTATTAGAAGTAGGTTACTGTGCACAGGACTTACTGTGTAGGAGTGCTCTAGGGAGACAGCTATAGTCCCTACTCAGCAGTTGACCAAGCTTTGGACTATGCTGTCAATCTCAGGTTTAAGAGTAGCTTTTGACCTTTTCTCAGGAGTGTTAGGACCATTAGTTCCCTGAAGAGGGGAGAGGGTTTCAGCCTCTTGAGGACAGCATCTGACAAGGTAGCTGCAGCATAAAAACAGAGCAGAATAAAATTCAGTCTTTTAAGTGCTCTCTTTGGTCTAAAGGTGACTTGAACTCAAGTTGATGGGCAAGGAGTAATGGCAGTTAAACACATCAAATGCAGTGTAGATCTACTCCGTGTGAACACACCAGATGGGCGAAAGCCATATCATCAGGGGCCTTGACTCTGCTAATGTAACTCTTTAGGAACTGCTACTAATAGAAGTCTACAATTAGGAGGCAATTACTTTTGCCTTAGCCAGATCTTGAGTGGAAAGCTCACAGAACTTGGCTGCTTTTGGGGGCTAGAGCAGCTCCCAACACAAGCCTGCAAAGCCTGAGCTGATAGTACCTGCAACTGCACATCTTGTGAAACAAATGGGAGTTACCTCAACAGGCAGCCCAAGACCAGCCAAACCCAAAGGCCTTACTTATGTGAGAATGAAGTACTTAAGCCTGTAATAGTTTTGCAAAAATCACCCAGTTTAAGGCAGCTTGCCTTGTTCTAGTCCTAAATTTCTTGAGCACCTGAAGCAGACCTTCGTTAGTGTGCTCAGGCTCCTCTGCCAAGGTCCTTTTTCAAAGCTAATAGCATCCTGTTGCCTACAGTAAGGAGATGGCATGAAATCTGGGCATCACCACCTTTTAAAAGTACAAACTGAGCCTCAGAGGAGCACACCTGTAGGTAACGGGTGTTTGCAGGAGTGTCTTTCCATCCCTTCCAGTGAAGGACAGGCTATTGCACAGCAAGGGCTTTCCTAGAGGCCAACCACAGCAGCAGGGAGGTGCAAACTCCAGCCCTGGTGGCTACAACCCACATGGTGTTCTGGGGTGGAGGGGCAGGTTCAGTTTCAACTATCATCATGCCCAACAGAAGTTAGTTGAAACTGAGTGGTTTGGAAAGCACGCTGATACTTTTTGGGGGAAAAAAAACCCCAACCTTAACAGACTGGATTTATGGAGATGCATTCAAGACTGGGAACATGGCAATAAAATAGTAAGCAAGTGTGTCAACACAGTCTAAGGCAGAGTTTCAAGCAGCATCTACCACTGTGGTCTGAGGCAGTGAAGCAATGGAAGCCAAAAGCCTAATTAGAAAAATACATACTAGTCAAAATAATACACAAAGAGCATTTTGTAGGGGTTACAAAGGAACAATGTGGATATGAGGAAGAACAGACAGCTGGCTCAAAATGTGAGCCAAGAGCTTATGCAGTTCACAGAGAGGGAAAGATTACAACTGAAAAAGACAACAGAGTAAGGCAAAAACAGCACACATTTCAGGTGGGAGTGAGACAGCAAGCAAGAGCACAGCCCACAAAACCTGGGCAGAAACCTTTGGTCCTGCTACTCATACTGATAATCTTAATACTTTTCTCCTTAGAAAAAAAAAAAAAAAAGTACTTTTTAATCAATTACCTTGATAGTTGTGCAGGGAGGATAGATTCCCTCTGACTCTTCCAACCTGAGCAAGGACAGCTCTAACTTAGAAGTGGTATCCAGGCCCCAGCAGCTGAGAACATGAAGACAATGAAAATATTCCCTTTCTATAGCCTTGTTACCTGATGGAAGTGCTTTCTCTTCTCAGGAAAGGCATTATGTAAGATGGTGAGGGGCACTGGTCAATAGACAGAAACCAAAATAAGGCTTTTGACCCACTAGTGAGCCGATGAAACCACTCCTCATTAGTTGATGTAGCTACTGTAGTGGATTTAAACCCACCACATTAGCAGAGTTGCAGGTGCAGTTTATACTGACAAAACCAGTCATCTAACACACTGTTTATTTACCTATAAAATACAGCTTTCAATTCTTCAAAAGAGGAACTGTAGAAGTGATTAAAACTGCTAAAAATCAAGGGCTTCCCTTTAATTTCCTGGAGGGAGGCATAGCAGTAACTCACAGCTCCATACTGCTCTACATCTCAACAACTTATTTAACAACAGAAAAATAAAGAAAAGGAATACAGAGAATTTGTGACTATAAAAACAATATACCTGTCAAGAGAAACGCGTACCCTACACTGAAGTGCTTTCACTTGGTTACTGTCAACTTTTCAGCTGCAGCAAAGCACTGATGAACAAAAGCTCAGCCCAGGCTAGAGTAATGCTTTGAGTTAGTCTCAGTTTGGAGCCCTAATTCCAGGAGAAATTTGCTCTCAAAAGTACTGTGACTTCATGATCTGGAGATCTTAAGTAGTACATAAGGTTGGAGGCAATGTGAATATGGCACAAAGTTTATAAGATACAGCACTGAGTTTATAAGATACTACAAATAATTCAACCTGGAATTAAGTAGGTGCAATTTTTACTGATCTCCATTCAGTAGCCTAAGGTAGATAAAATCCAAATGCAAGTGTTCACAAGCAGATATTGCCTTCATAGCAAAACCATCTGATTTTACTTAAAGGCAGCTCATGGCCGGTGCAAGGGAGTAAACTCTAAGCCAGCCATAATGAGGGTGCAGAGGGCAGGCTTCTTACCAAATAAAACAAACCCAGTAACCTCCTTTCAAGTCATCAGGAGCCCACCCGTACCTCCCAAGTGCAGCAACCTCTCTGATGAAGCACTGCAAGTGTCCGATGGAGATCTTCAGCACAGAATGTCTTTTTTTAACATCCTCATTAAATTCCAGCTGGGATAGTTACCTTGTTTCTACTCAAAAATCTAACCTTTACCATGGACCAGAAGAGCCAAGGTATTGTCTTCTGCAAATGCCATCTAGAAGCACACACATCTTGGTCATACCTGCTAGCCCTATGTGGATGTCTTGTTTACCCTTAAAATACCTCAAATGTCATTAAATACATATATTTGGCCACCTGAAATGTTCCCTAGGACGAATTCTCCCTTAAGAAGTGTTACCCTGCCAGCATGCTTTACTCAAAAGAAAGGAGTATCTAATTAGGGAATGGTAACTCTAATCAGTAGTACAAAGGCATACTTTACCAAAACCCACTGTGGTTTGCAGGATTTCACATTAGCACAGAACTGGGTGCACGTTATCTTTGAAAGACCTATAAATCTTTCCTGAAAGACCTTACTAAAATAAGATGCAAGATGGCAGCTATTTTCTCATAGTACAGCTTCTGAAATCAGGCAAAAATACAACACTGTGTGAAATCATGTCCCAAGTCAAGACAAACACTGCATCTAAGAGTCAATATTTATTTGATTAATAACTTACAAAATTTAACAGATTTAATTTATGTAAGGAGAGCTATTTTATTAAACATTTTACAGATTTTTTTTTTTTTTGTTCACAATGTAATACATCAAGATCTCGACAGTATTAAAATAATACTTGGCACAGTTATAAATAAAGAATATACAGAAAAATCCATAGCTTAAAATGTAGTGATGCTGTTTTATACATTAACTGAAAAAAAATCTGGTGGACATCAAAGAATACAGAAACCTGCAAAGAAACAGCACATGTTTAGGGCCAAGACAAAATTCCAATTTATTCTATTTATGTCAGATTAAGTTGGTCTGATCTGCCGCTGGTCTGGATCAGCTTTGTTAAGTTCCAGAAGCAATGCAGTTTTGCTTCAACAAGTGAATTCTAAGTTTGATAACTCGACAGAAAAATGCTGCATAGTTGGCTCCCCCCTGCTTGATTTTATGATTTCACGTCAAATGATTCAGTGTTACTCAAGACGAGTTACATTTTGCACTGGAAACTTCATACATCCCAAATCCATATATGCAAGTTAATTTTCACAACTACCTACTTTGCTCAAATTCTGCAGGTCTCAACAAAACTGTCACCAGAGAGCTATTAAGTAGTAAATTGTGCAGAACTCACTACATACTATCAAAGATCACCTCTTTTGCAAACATTTTTGACATGGACTGCATGACACAATTCATGGCAGTTAATGCTACTGGGCAACTCAAACCAAAACTTGTATCATGTACTGAACTGCTCTTCTGGTGCTAGGCGATATTTAATAAAGTGGATTGAAGTTCTTCAAGTCAACCGACCCGCAACAGAAATGTGAAAAAACACCCATAAATGAACAAATATGCAGAACATTACTGGTGATTAAAATAAACATCATTGTAAAGCCTTCAATGCTTTTCTGGTTAGAAAAAAAATATGAGCAACTAATGTTAACTGTTTTCACTGAAATAGAACGTGTCCTCAATTAGGATTACAAATTTTGTCAGACAAAAAAAGCAAAACCTTCTTGCCACCCCTGTACCCAAACCTCTCCCATTAAAACTGTGTCCAAGACAAGTTGATTTTTTTCCAGTATTAAACATTCAAGTACTCTAATTCTGCACTTCTGTAAACCCTGGTATCTGGTACTTGCAAACTAAGTGTGTGTCTTGAGATCAATGAACAACTACAGAAAAAATGTTTACTTGCAAATACTGAACATCAACTATTTACAGTTTCACTGCTCCTCTTACTAAGGCAAGGGCCGGGAATACCACTAGATTGCTTTATTACCTGTAATCTGCATATTACAGAAAACGCTAATTTTGCCAAGCATCAAACATGCAGTGAATTTGCAGGGCGTAATGCCTATTAACAGCAATATTGAACATCACTAAAAGCTCATTAGATATCTTCCTACATTTTTTTTGGTTGAATAAAATGAAAATGAGCAGCTTTAAATACACTAAACACACACTCACAGAGAGAAAACTATTTGATAAATTATTTATATACAGATACACATTCTTTACACTGGTCTCAAACATCTGCTTTCAGGTCCCTCCCCAAACTCCCCTCACAGGTTTCTTGAACCACTGGGTTGCTACAGCACTTAGAAGAGAACTAACCTGATTCTCAGTCTCTCTGTAAACAATAGTTAAGGAAGCAGTGAACAATTCACTATGAGTGTAAGAAAACACCATAACAAAAATCAGTGCATCACATTCAAGAAAAGCCCCTTTGGAATGCAATTTCAGATCATTCCTTACCTTCCAAACATATCTGTAGCATGAGAACTTAAAGAAATTAAGGGTGATTTCCACGTGCCAATACACCATCTTCTTCAGAACGTTGTGTTACATTTTCTGTGTGCGCATGCTATTATGGGGATTATTTTTTTGTTAAAGTTTGGTTTCCATTATTTTACCTCCAAACAAAATAAGAATTTCAGACAACTCTGGGTTCTTCTTCTGCAGTTGCATTCAATTTAAAACTATCCTGTCTTTTTATAATTAAGATTTTTTGCTTTTGCATCTCTGTTTTCCCCCATGCAATTTCTCTTCTAACATATCTCCAATTACACAACATTGTACTGTATAAGGACCAAACCTAATACTGAAACATTGCTAGTTTTTAAGTTACTTATACAATTAACTCAAAGATATTTTTTTTCCACTTTTTTCCTGAACATTATATGCGGTACTCTAGTTTTACAGGTGTATCATGCATTTTAGCAGGCCTTTAACTTTAACAGTAGAGCTTTCCTTATTTGTGCGATTGTTTATTTCAGACTATATAATCTCAGAACAGGGTTATTACAAGTATTTAGTTGTACCACTAACTGGAGGCAAAAACAATCACCAAAAAATGTGGGCAAAGTATCTTTTCTCAACATTATCTGACATGCCCTACTGCTATAACTTAACATGTTACAGTGGATTCCCACCACATGATGTTTATAACAGTATTGAAAAGCACATTTTTCAATGTACATAATACTACAGAAAATCTGTATTAAAAAAAAAATCACATTACAGGAACTACAACATAGCGATCAGTGAACTCTGCCATCATGAAATTTAGTTTTATAGTCTAGATTATTGTTTCAGTGGAATTATTCATATTGGGAAATAAATTTTTCTGCTGAGCACAACGTAACTACTTATGTCAATACTTCAATAATCTCATGCTCCATTGTGAAAGACCTTAAACAAAAAACCCAACAACAAATACTGTGAATATGCTGTCGCGAATAATTCTCATGTTAAGAACTGTTAAAATCCCTTTTCGATCTTCCTCCTCTTCCTTATCAGGTTTGGCAGTTTGTTCTGTCCATTTTTACTTTGTTAATAAAGTTCTGATGAAGAGAAGGTACCTTATGATTCATCATCAGCCCTACACATAGCATGCTACTCTTCAAGGGATGCGGATTCGAGAGAGAGAGAGAAAATTTTTCAGGCACCACTCAGATATGATATGCTCACAGGATGAAGGTGGTGCTACACTAGCTGGTAGCCTGATCCTGAAGTCTGGTCATATTCTATTGTATACTGCCTTGTCCAGTCCACGATAACAGGCCGAAAAAGACCACAGCATCTGAATTCAAAGAAGTCTATAATGTTCCTTATACATCCATGGCTAAAACCAAAACAAAACCACATGTTAGTAAGCAATATCATAGTTCATCTAACAAAGTGCAATATTTTTTTGTCTACCTACAAATTCAATTCTTCCCCCTTTAAGTTCTTAATTGTAGAAAACCAATTCAGCTAAGAATTGTCTTGGTGCTTGCTGATGAGCAAGTTCTGAAATAAGAAGTTGTCACCAGACTGGTGAATGTTTGATCCTTGAACACAACTAAGACACTAACTTTCTTCCAATATCTACCAAAACTGTATGGAGAAACGTAACATACTGTTGGCAGTGCACCATCACGTAGCATAGCATGGTAATTCAGATCCCTTTCTAAGAAGAAAGTTGAATTGTACAGATGGATACAAGACAAAACAGCATGAAGTGAATGTCTTCTTAGAATAACTTCCATTTTTATTAATATCTTTTTCTGTCATACACACTGGTTCACCAGCTGCAGGTCTAAGATCAATTAAGACCCTCGACAACACAAAATTAAGAAAGCATTATCTGAATTAAATGAACTATTCAAACCTTTCTTACTTTCTGTTGTTGAATCACTTAAGTGTCAAATATTTAAGATGCCTACATCAAAATTCCAACATGTTGTTTTTTTTAACTTAATTACATATAGGGTGAATAGATCATGGTTTTCTGGAAGAGAAGCTCGTGTTACGGTATACGCAAGGGCAGGTCTAAGCAACAAGGAGATGACAACTCCTCGATGTCAACGCTTCATATGACAGGTGATGCCAAGTCAGTTATTTTAGACATCTGGTATTATTTTCAGGAGTCATTTTTATAATAGCAGCTATTTCAGTGTAAATGGTTTCTGAATGTGACATTAATTTGGGGATAAAAACAGTAGTTTTTTCCTGTCCTGTGGACCACCCTGTGTTCTTCAAGCAAAATAATTATCTGGTTTTGTCACAACTCTAATCTGTAAGAAGACTGCAACCAGAGAGAGATGCTTGACTGCTTCCAACTAGGAGTTTTGTACGGAGAGATATTGAAAAAAGATCCCACAAATTTTTATTCTAGCACAAAAATCAAACTGCAACAATAACACCTATCTCCTGGGTGTCACCTGAAAGAGCAGCAGATCCCACAGCAGACACAGCATATGCAGCAGAATGAGACATGCTTCTGACCTTTTGCTGCTCCTTTTGTATGTAATGTGCCCTCAACCCAACACACCAGCCTCATGCCTTCATTTATTTCCTGCTTTGGCTCCACAAGCTGCTCCATGACACTGTATTCCCATCCCAGTGCTATTTAATCCCTGAGCCCACCTCTTTCAGCTTGCACCCTCATCACTACAGAAACCAGAATCCCAACCTACCCTTTACATACCAATACCCAAAAGCCCATGTCTCACCCATGCAACACGCACTTCAGTTCCTGGGACACCCTGCTCCCTTTCACACAAAAAGCTTTGCCCATGCTCTTCCTCCTGAGCGCAAAGGAAATGCTGACTCTTTTCTCTTAGTAAAGAGAGCAAGGGGAGATACTGCACAGAGCAAATTCAACAGCACACTAAAAATCATTCAGGAGAAAGTGTCTGGTGTGTAAGTGAAGATCCAGGTCAACACTGACACCATTCACTAAGCAACTACCTCTGGTCTGGGCATCTGATTTATAAAGAGAATATTTGTTTCCCCATAAACTCTACAGCAAAATATGACCACTGCTGGAAAGCATTCTTTTCTGTGTTTATCCATCCCTGTCCAGACTCACTACAAAACATTTATCACTTCCTTTAACTGGATAGAACACGTTACTGTAAAAATAGCTGACAGATTAGCATTCTAAGTAGTGAAAATACTCTAGAAGTATTTAGCTATGTTATTTCAGCAAGCTGCACAATTCAAATGTATGCAAGGCTACACGAACAAGAAATATGTTTACACTTTAAATCTTACTTGAACGGGCTTTCAATAGATGTGGTTGTAACTTTAAAGTGCTTGTATCTTCTTGCATTCATTCTTTCATTTGTCGTGATACCCAAGCAAGATATCTGAAGACAGGAAAGAGAGTAAACAATTTAGCTCATGTGAGAACATGCAAACAGGCCCTGCATGAGCCAGACTGAAAAAGGAGGATGAATTTACTAGTTTAGACTCTTTCTTCTAAGGAAGGAATTTTTGTCTGGGGAAATTATCAGGTCACACCATAAAACACCATATAACAGCTGTACCAGATTGTGCAAAAGGTTTAATTTTTAAAGTGACCAGAAATAAAGCATGATGGACATGCCTTTACTATATTGTCAGCTGAAGCATACTATAAATAACAGATTCAGGAGTTACTTTACATAGCATTTGAATGACTTTCTTTTCCTCCTGACATTCTGGTTATAGCTCCAGTGTTGCAATAACAACTTTTCTGTCTGTGAGACAAAAAAAGACCAGAAAAAAAGAGGGTGGGGGTTTTTTGTTGCTTGTGTTTTTTCATTTTACGGAATCATTTGGCTCAAAGGCTATGATTTTCTGCAACAGCTTTCCAACTATGTTAGCCTAAAAGGGTATCGTAACATAAAACTGAAGTTTAATGTAATATGATGTAACTGGAAAAAAGATGTGAGAACTCCCTTAGCAGCCTTATATAACAGGAAGATAAAAATCTTGTCATTCCCAGTGAAACACAGGAAGTCAACTCTGTTGCACGTTACAAAAGCAAGAACACTTGAAAAGTTAAGCTGGGGCTGGCTTGCCTCCTTTGGATGTACTTGTCTCAAGCATTTTCTTTGCTTCCGTGAAACCCAGTGAAGTTTCATGTCTATGTACATAAACTGGCTCTCAACAGCCAACTTTTGAAGTAGGAAATAAAGGTTTGAAATTATTTTTCTAAGATAGTAGGCAGTGTTTGGACAATTATTCTGGCTAGTTCAATAAGATGGACAAGTCCAAACTTTATGATGGAGAAAAAAGAAAAAGGCAGCAAGAGTAGAGGCTGTGCAGTTGCAAATCAAAAGAAGCAATTTAGAGAATGTCTTTACCAATTTCATCACTATGGCGAACTTCAAAGAGATTTGCAAGAACAATACTAAGTTTTCTATGCATAAAACTCTTAGGAAATTTAGTAATGTGACTGTGTGTTCAGTTTTCATTTCTCCAGCATTATTAAATAAGTCAAATGATAGAATTATTTCGCTTAATTATACTAATGGTACAAAATACTGACATGTATTTTTCCAAGCAGCATAAGTCAAAGATTCACCTGTACACAGATTGTATTAACAGGAATCCTCAATAGATCTTGATGTAAGTATGACAGAAGGCTCTCTGGAAAGTTACACGCTTATTTTGCTAGACATCTGATGGGTTAGACTGCTTTGAAAGCCACCTGAAATACATGTAGTTCCCTCTGCTCACTTGTCTTGGGCAGGAAAGACCTCAAAGACTGAATGGCTCTTGCTTACACATATAAGATTTTGAAATTTATACAAGTTGTAAATGATGAATATTGTAGAGAAAGGAGAACTAATATTTCATCAAAAGTTTTACCTAAGCCTTAGAAGATTATTTTTATTTCCAGGAGCTCTGGAAAGATTAAATTGGTTTGTTAATAACAAGTCATACTAGAAGACTTTCAAGTCATACTTGAAGGCTTTCATATCACTTGTCTTTCCTTAAAAAAGATAAAGAAAAACTTGGGTTTGGTCAGATGTACACTAATGTGATCTGAAATCACACTGAAGCAGTGTAAGAAATTCTTGCATCCCCTTTGAAGTTACCACCCTCTTTCTGCTAATGATGTATTGCATTATTATTCCAAGTCCAACTGACAGATCTCATCCTCTGTTAGCCTTTATTGCCTTTCTCTGGTCTGTTTTTCCTTTTTGTCATTCTGAGAATGGAAAGCAAGAGGTAGGTATTTTAACTTCTTAGAAAAAAAAAAAAGCACAAGTGAATGAGAAGTGAATGATGCCTAATATCCACAAACAGATGCCTGCCTCCTCCAGTGTGCCTGAGAGACTAAACACTTGGTCTTGCATAATGAACATTAAAATTTAAATGACAGAACTATTTGATATTCTAAGTCACTCCCAAGACTTAGCATTACAAATGTAGTGCTCTTCCATACCTGATACATCTGACACATGAGTAACACAGCCACCCACATGAAGTGAAAAACACTGTTTAGAAACATCCAAAACATCCACGGAGAACAGGTAGCAATCTGTGTAATATAGGTCCAAAATCCATCCTTAGCATAACTTGTCTCACAGTGGAAACCCCAGTCTGAAGAAAAAACAGTGTCAAAAATCATACAGAAGAGTCAAGATATGCTTACTGTACATCAACACAATGCCCACATTAGAACATATTAAATTAAATAACAAAATGACAATGTGGCAAAATAGTTTTACTTGCTCTCTTCCTTTCCCAACTCCTTGAATACATATGCACATACTTGGCTGTGATGAAGAAAAAAAAAAAATCTAGGACAAAAACCCCATCATCATCTAACTTAAAATACCCAACATAGATAATTACTAATATGCAGTTCAATTTCAGAATAAAGGTATCCCAAGCTCTGATAACACAGAAATCTGTACAAATCCATACCAGGAGATAAAAGTATTTATAAGACATTTTTAAAAAACAAAAAAACTACATTTACTCACAAGAGATACATCCATAAATCATCCAGCAGATCATAAAAAGCAGGAAGAACAGGTATCCCATAAAGTAGCGATGGTTCCCTGCTCCTAAATTTGCATAACAGGGATCAAATTACTACACTTTCAGAAGACAGACAACACTACACCAGAAAGTTCAATTGCTTGCTTAGAAGTTCTGCTTATTACTGTACACAGAAACATTACTGTCCCATATTAAGCCAATGTAACTTCAAGACAGTGAAATTATCCGACTTACTCAGTTGTTGGGTTTTGTTGTGTTTTTTTTTTTTTATACTTCTCAGACAAAGCAGCAATGTTTTATTTTCTCAATATCTGTCACATTACAGCTGCAATTCACACAAATAAATTTCATTTGCAACCTCTTTCATGAGGTAATAAAATTCTTGATAGACAATATATAGAACAACATTGGTGACAGCTGTTGCAGAGCCCTGAACAGACAGGAATTACACATCAATATTTTAAAAATTCCATTAAAACAATCAGACTGCAGAGTTCACTTTCTTAAAAGAAATAGAAATATGAATATACAACCTCTCTTGATAATAAGCTGACGCACAACTTAGGTTTAAACCTGCTTGATGGAGTTAGTTAAAAATTAAATATGTAATAGAACTTGTAAAACAAATACATGTAACTGAACAGATGAGGCCTGACAACCTGGCTAGAACAATGAATGGGATAAAAATCATTCTGCTTAAGACAGAATTAAAATGCAAGAAAACTCAGTTACTAGAAGACTGATCTATTTTTAACATTAATAGTGCTGAAAAGATGTCTCTTATGCGAGTACATCATAATTCTGAAGTACTCAGCCTTCCTCCTGTTTGTAAAATATGTCCACTGTTGCAACCTTCCAACAGCTCTAGGCTGTAAACTAAACCAACAGAGATGATAATGGGCTAAAAAAATTTGGCTGTCATCATCTACCAGCAGCATAGCAGTTACTTCTTCATTATGTCAAATGTTTTGCCTGCTAAAACAAGAGCATCCTCTGGAGGCAGAAAATAATCAAGTGCTTTTAGCAAGTGAACTGAAAGACTATGTAAATAAGAGATAAGGGAAAAAATACACATACAACACAAGCTAGACTAAACACAAGACATTTCCTCTTCAGACATAAAATATGTTGTAACATTACCTTCAATTAACTAAAAGCATATGACAAACAGTGTTGGGAATGTTCCTAAGGTACCACTTTGATTTGCATTCTAAATTTCAGAACTGTTAAGTTTCACAAAAGACTTTTTTTCTTTTTAAAAAAAAACATAAGTTAAACCATGACATAGAGGTCCATCTGAGCGGCATCTGATGAGATGCTTCTTTCAGCAGCACCCTCAATAATACTAAACCAAATTCTGTTTAACAGGAAATCCATCTGTATTTGGTAAAAATATACATGTGTATCATGTAAAACTAAGAGACACAGGTACAATCTTGGCCAATTAAAAAAAAAGACTGAAAGAAGAAAGTGGAGAAACTTCCTTTTTTCTGTATCATAAATAAGATTGGGCAAAACACAGCACCACTCCCTATAGTTTCACCCTGGACTGGCAGGAATGCAGCCGGTTATTATCCACAGTTAAAACAATGCTGTAAGAATTGTTTCTAATTGCTTTCATCATATTATACATAAGCAGTACCATACAATAAAGATAACTGATCTTTTTATGGATGGAGTTATATTGCATGATTTAGATAGTTTGTTCATGTCTTTCTTTTAGCTCCTTGAAGAACCTTTAATGGGAGGAACAGTGATCATTATTCTAAACCATCAAATAATTTCTCATATACATAAGTGACCTTCTGAGTCACTGCTATCAGAACAATAATTCATACATCAGCATAACCCATGTGACTTAACAGTTTAAAATTTGGCTCTAGCTCCTTACATGCTATTACTTGAAAACAAAATTTCTGTTGCAAGTCTGCAGTTTGTGTTGAAATACAACTGCAAGTTTAATAAAATCTGTTATTTTTCATTTTCAAAGAATCAACTGAAAAAACCATAATGCTGTTTTGATACTCCATTAAAAAGAGAGAGGCTTGCTCACTGTAATTTTAACTAAAATTTTGCAGGTATGATGAAAATTTGCCTCAATTGCCAATTTGTTTATTTTTCAAATAGTCTGCAATTTTTGGTCAACCTCTTCAGAATGGTAAAAATACTCTCTCAGTCTCTTTGTGTGCCAAGTTTTAACCCCAAAGGATTTATTTTAGAGTGTCTGTACACTCTCTTATATTTCTCAGTCCTATCTTTAGTAAAATCCTTATCCTTCTAACACATTTGAAGGAAGCCTACACAAAACATTTCCAAATTCCACCTTTCCAGAAAAGCACGATTCATGTTTCCCTTTTTGGCAAACATACCACGAATGCTGTTTTAAGAATGGATTCTGTTTTGTAATCCTATGCTTGGAGTCACTATGTACCAGTCTGAGACAGAGAAACCATATAAGGTCATTTAGACCATCACCCCCCTCTAGTTCAGGGCTGTTCCCATAGTGTGATTTCTATTACTTTTTTCCCAGCATACTTTCAAGCATCCTAAATGTTTATTTTTATGTGCAGTTATCTCAATCTGTACAAGACCACTAGTAAGAGGAATCTGCTTTTCCATCATTTTTAAAAAACATTTTCTCCACCTAATTTAATACTGTTACTCACATACTCTCCTATTACTCACAAAGGTCTTTCCTCCCCCATCTGTTTTATGGTTTTCTAGTTACTGATTAAAATACTGGATTTTTCTGTGCCATTAACAAGTACTCCTCAGCACTCTCGCAAAACAGTCACTAAACACCCTCCAAAACCTGAGCCCATGCCCCCCTGCCTGTTTTAATTAAAAATATCTGTTCTTCATTGTAAAACATCTAAAATATAAATGAAAAGTAGCTCAGGTAGGAAATCAGTAGGAAATATAAAATAGAAGGGAGTGATTTAAGTCCATCTCATCACTTTAGTGATGTTCTATTACAATTCAAATACTAGCATTGACTATTTTACTCTTGATTGTAAGACCAAACTACTGTGATTATCCATTATTATATGTATTTGGAAGGACTACAATGAAGCATTTATTGGCTTCCAGCTGTCAATGAATCCAGGCCCTAATTCCTCCCCAAGATTGAAGCTGCCTTTGCTTGTATCCTAAAAAAATAAACCAGTGAAGCAAGCTGCACTCCAGTGCCCCTGAATAATAACGGCTTCAAATAAGTTTCTCAAAAGGTATGACAGGGAATAGTAGCATTTAGAGACTTTATCCCTGTTCTATATCTGTTCCTTTCATCATTACCGGAGAGACTAAACGACTACCTGGGGGGGGTCAAAGAGAGGAGAATACCTCAATAGGAAGTCATTCTGTATCTAACTGCTACAATCGTGACACATCTGAATACACAGTTTCCCATTAAATTACTGAAAATTATTGGTAAAGATGGAAATTTGTATCTTATGTAATGGATAATAGTCAGTTGTGGAATTGGTACATGCCTTTTCTGTAGATATTAAAAAACAGTTAAGCTTTGCATCTTTAGATAAAAAAATATGCATCGGAAACTGAATTAGACACAGAGCAATTTTGAGGATGGGTATATAATAGACAATACAAAGAGAATAATGCAGAGAATCACATGCAGAAAAAAAAAATAAGTTAAGCTCTATGTTGAAAATGGGTTTTCTTTCTACCAAAAAAGCACTCAACAGTTTTTCTCAGTCTCTGGCAGAAGCCAAGTCACTTTCACCATAAAATCAGAATAGTCAAAGCTCTGTCCAACACCCAGAGTCAATTTCAGAAGCTTTTCCCTTCTTTACCTGTTAAGACAACATTGTATTTTAGCAAACCACTCACCTACACAGTTACCCACCCATGGGCAGTGGTGATCAAACTTCGCTATACATCGATTGCATACACCACAGTGTTTGGACCTCACTGGTTTCCGTATCTGTAATGGTTATTAACATTTGTTTAGAAAAGAAAAAAAAACCCTGACATATTTTATGTAGAAAAACCCCCTCAATTTAAATGTGAATTGGTTTTACTGTTTTCAACCCCTTGGAGAACTTCAAACTTGATACTAATTTTTACAGCAGTCTTAGCTATTAAGCTTAATCTATACACTATTTATACAAGCATCTATATAACCACACTGAAATTATTTTCATCCTATTTGTTATACAAGGACCTTTTTCTTCCCAAAGTTCTCCTATCACCTCTAACTATTGAGCTTTGTACAGCAACCAGCTTCATTTCAGCTTTTTAACAATGAAAATGAATTTTACTGTGTGTTACAGAGGTGGTGAAATGTGACCTGTGATTTTCATAACTTGTTAGGTGTATAACCATCTTCATAGATATATGGGATACTTGGATTTTGACAATGGCAAGTTATTTCCACAGTGATAATTTTTTTTTCCTCTTACTGTTGCAGGGCTTTTTGTGTACAGATATATTATTAATTGAAAATACTGCTTAAATTAAAGATTATAAATAAATCCTGCCCTTGAAACTGCATTATTAAGGCCAAAAACCTGATCAGTATAGGAACATCTAATTTTGGCCTAGCATTAAAAATAAAGGGGAAAAAAAATATCGGTGCTGCAATTGATTAAAAAATACACTACCAAGCAGGTACTGCAGAATATACTGAGGTCCAGACTTCCTGTCTCTGCAAGTTCTACTATGGTCTGCAGAAAAAAAGGGAAAAAAATTTGTAATTTAGCATATAAGCAAATGCTTACAACCATATAATAGCTGCTTTTCAGACCCAGGGTTGTGAACTCTGTTCATTCCAAGTACTTTTTACCCACAGGAACAACTTAAAAGTCAGTTGAAACTGATTTTAGACCTATTTTAATAAACCAATATGCATATTTGCTTCTAAATTCTAGCTTATACTTATTCCTACTCTATCTAGGTTTAATTAGAGAAAAAGCAAGCTTATATTAATTTTGATATATCCACACAGTAATTAGCACCAGTTTGACTAACCTGTTGTTTAACATATTAAAATTAATGCAGCTAGATTTCCAAACAGGAACATACATAAAACTAGCTAGCAGGATCAGCCAGTCCAAAAACTAGACTTCTTTCCAGAAGTACCTTATCAAAGACTTTAAATCTATACTAACCTATTTCCTCAGATGTTGAAGCTTCCAGAAAGAAAAGAAATAATGCAAACCAAACCTCCTCTTACAGATAATGCTCTGTACTTATGGGTCAAAGTAATACACAGAAGTAGATACCAGTTAAAGCACACCTATACCTTCACACTAAATGATAGCTTTTTTTATTTTGTACACTCCTTCAATACCCACTTCATTGAAGCAACAGAAAGAACCTATTATTCCATTAAATCGTTTCCAACAATTTTTAAAATTCAGCAGCTGAAATTATGCCATGTGGGACTTAAATAACATTTGCAACATATGGAAAATATCCTGAAAAATCTTTTGCCAGAATAGCCTTCCTTGAACCAGAAGGAATTTGTTCAGAGTAGTAGTACATAGCCTAATGGCAAATAGATTAATCTACTGCTCCTTTTCAAATCATGTGTATCATATGCATCAAGGTGGTTTCTAACTGCAAAAGCAATGAAATAGTCTCTTTTCTCATCATAGCAATATAAATGTAATTTCCTTCACTAGATGATGACCATTAAGGTGAGTATCTTGACTGAAGTCACAGAAGTTTTTCTCCCAAACACTACACTTGATAACTGGTTCTGAAAAATTTATGGGAACTTTTCCTCAAAGTAACCAGTAAAAGCTACAGTCTGCATTTCAGGGGTAAATCAGCGTCCCTACTGAACTCGGGTAAATGAGGAACAATCCTTTTTTCTCACACTTCCAAGCTCTTAAAGTTGGACTATTTTTTCTCCTCATTTGTTGTAGTTCATTTCTTATTGGCCCAGTATTCTTGCCTCCACCACTGCCACCCTTCAGCTCCTCTCTCCAACCAACCATTCACAAGCCCTTCTATGTCCCTCCTGCAGCTTGCCAACTTCAGTACTCTATGTCCTTTTCTCCTCCCCCTCTGCCAACCCTCACTGCTCTAACACTTCCCACTACAGGACTTGAAATTAAAGTGCCTCCCTCAGAAGATTAACTTTTGTAAATAAACCAGACAAACAGAAAAAAAACAAAAACAAAACAAAAACAAACAAACAAAAACAACCAAAAAAACCAAAACCAAACCAAAACAAAAACACAAAAAAAACCCCAAGACATATCTACCATGATTTCAATGCTGCTGGTGGAGCTTTTGATACCTGGGACAATTTCATAGTTTCTGATTTCAGTGGGAGCATACACTACACCACAGACTAAAGGGTGCAAAAGGAACATACAAGGTGTGATGCTCAACACTGGAGCTCAGTATTGTCCACAAGCAAGATCCCAAAGCTCAGGAGAACAGAACTGATCAAGAGCAGATAATTAACTTCTAAATATAACTCTCATCAAAGCTTATAACAGAGAGCCAGAAGCACTCAAGTTACAGCCACATGTTGTGCTTTGTAAACCTTGGGTCTATTTTCTATGCTTCTGAAGTACTGAAAAAAAAATTATTTATTTATTCATTATAAGAGTCACTTGGGTTATTTTGTAACACAAAAGAAAGGACATGACATATCAGAAGAATAAACATCTGAAATTGTTTCTTAGTATACATTTTGAAAAAAATACTTAACAAGGTCATGTGGAATTAAAAGAGGTTTGGGGTTTTTTTTTTGCTTATTCCAAAGGTTAACTCAACATTAAACATCTGGAGACAAATTATGAAAATAGGAAAAAGCACTAAGTTGCATGAAGGTAAGACACACACCCTACAGTGGCTTATACCCCAGTAATAGATCATTGTACAATTTGCTTAGCTGCAACATAAGAAATCCATTCATACCCATAGGTATCTGCCTGAAGAAGTTGCATTTTACAATGCCTATCCAGTTCAGCAAGGCTTTTGTAACCACACTTAACTACTTAAGCAACTAGATCAAATTAATTGCGTATTTGTGCAATTTGCTGAATCCAAACCAAAGTGCAGTTGCTGACTATTCTATTTAATTTAGTCCACTTGAAGGAAGAGAATTTAGTCTGGAATTTACTTTGGCAAATTTGCAGTAACAGAAAGGGAGTTCGCAGAGTAATCCTGAACATCAACTAGCAACTCAGTTATAACCCACTGGAGAATACAAAAATAATTTCAGGTATTGCAACCATCCTTTTAAAGGCTATTATGTTTTCATTCCTACACAAGGCCATAATTCCAAGTGGTCTGATGTGGATCAGCATGGGTGTTTTCACAAATGACCATGAAGTAGAAGCTCAAACCTCAGTTTTCGTGGGATGTGAGCTTCTAGGAAACTTAACCAAAGTGAAACAAAAAAAAATGCTTCTGCTGCTTGTACATTTTTGGCATACTCATTGCTCAGTTTGGCTGCAAAGAAAAATGCACTTAAAAGAAATCAGAAATGCTAATAATAGAGTTATAACATCTTAGATATCAATAACCATCCATATTTTTCCTAATACTTATACCAAAACAAAATGCCAGCCCAGATTTCCAGGGATTTTGGTTGTTTTAGTCGCAAAATGTTCATCAGCCTAATATTTTTAGACACACTGTAAAGAAAATCAGAGGTGCTTAAAAGTCTGGAAAGTTTTTATAAAATCAAATTAACTAACAGTTTTCCCATAATGGGTTATTTGTTTCAGTAAGGTAAAATTCTGGCACTTCACATTTTCATTTTCACCCAACTGCTTTTTAAACTTTTTATCTTGAAAATTCAAGTTGCAATTTTATATTGTTACTCAAAACAACCAAAATGCACCATCAGACCAGTAAGACTTGAACATATATTCCAAAAGTGAGAAAAGAAACGTGGAAGACTTTTCAACATTTTAGATCTTTTGTTATACAACAATTTTCTAAAATTTCATTTACTGAACAACAAACTATGCTGACCAACTGGTGGCAGGCTGCTGAAGAAGTTTGATATAAATCATGTCTTTACCTTTTTCTTTTGTTCTTCCGTGGCTTTGATGATTCCTGGATCAGATTTCCAGGATTTTCCAAAATTGTAGAAAAGTGCAACGCTATTAGCAAGGAATGGAAGATGTATAAAGAAAAAATTGAGATGTGTTTGAAGTCAAGGAATCTAAAGTTTTAAACCAAATTTCCTCTTGAAAATACCCACTGGTAATTCTGAAATAGAATTTAAATAAATTCAATTTTTATGAATGTCCTTGAGTCTGTCTTCTGAATTAACAAAATTCAGTGCTGCTGTAAAAAACAGCTTGGTGTACAGTATTTTCTATTGCTCAAACTTGAAAACTTACTTTTACAAATGCTGTTCTCTATGAGGAATTTCTAAAGCACTTAATGCTTTCTAAAGAATAAATAATGATAGTTCAGTTTTTGTGATTATTTTCCCTTTTAAATAAATTAAATTTCATTAAATTTATCTTCTTAAAAGTATTTCCTGTTATCACAATAAACATTTCAGAGCTCTATTTATAAGATAGTCATTTGACTGCCTATGTCTTCAGTGACTTGAAATTCCTGTTAGATCACAGAAAGGCCTGTTTCTAGCCATAGAAGGAATTGTGCTGTAACAACCATTGTTGCATGGCCATCACGTCTCAACACCACTTATCTCCAAGAAAAGTACTGTCTGAAACCTGGCCCTATTATAAGGTGATACCCATATTTTACATCAGTGAAAGTTATTTTTAACATACTAATAATACACGCAATACTTACAAAACCACAGGATTTGGTATTCTCTGGAAGTGTTTATAAAATCAATTACCATATAAAGACAGAAAAACCCCATTAGTTTTAGAACATATTTCCTGTGTTGAATGAGTTTCCATATAACATGCCCAGTCTTAAAACACTTGACATTTCTTCGCAGAATTAAAGCATTTCTTAGCAATGATGTTGAAAAACCAAATACTTCAGACATGCGTTGTTCGTAAAACGTGGAAAATTATTTACTCTGATAAACCTCCAAAAGACCTGAAAAACTTGACCAAAAGATACCTGTCAGTCATAACTGCAAGGAGATGTCATATTTGACAAAGCTTAGGTGGCAGAAGCCTCTACAGCACTATCCAGGAAAAAAGTACACATTACTTAGGCACAAATCATAGCACACCCAAATTACATTATATTCTGAGTAACTTGATAAATATTTCTCTCTACTTCAGTAGTCATTAGAACTTCTACTGTAATTAAAGTTTAATATATTGTGTGCTTGTCTTACAAAACCCTAAATATAAATCTTAAAATAAAGCATTACATGGCAAACTGTACCGAACTGGTATATAAGACTTCAAAGACAACAATTTTTTGCATGCATTGAAAAAAAATCGGATTTTGAAGTCAAAGTAGATGTTAAAACATATTGTACTATACATGTACAAGCATATTCTATTGTGTTGGACTATCCTTACAAATATATTCTATTGTGTTTGACTACTCTTGGAAAAAGCTTTTACTGAAGTCATTAAGCAGTATTAAGAAAAAAAATCACATAAACCATTGATAATCAAATCTACATAGTACAGATAGAAGCAAATATTAATAAACACAGAATTCCTACAGAATAACAGTAAGTATCTCAAATCCTTCTACACTGCTCTTGTGATGTGAAAGAACCCTGAAATTAATAAATACAAGTAATGCCTCTTTTTGACTTCTGAAATGCTAAGTCTCATTGTTCATGTGAAGCATATCACAAATAACTTTTGTTCTACTGGGCGGAGGAATTGGCTGAGAATTTCTAATTAATAAAAAAAGGCAAGTTAAGTTAAAATTTTAATCATGTACCTTATATAGTAGGATGCTAGTATTAATTCACTAAAGGCTAATTAATCTGTCCCCTAATAAGCTGTTTCCAGCAAATTTGTAACAGGGGAAAAAACACCAGCTATACTATAACCTAAACACTCACAGTTCAGTTTAATACAATATAGATTAAAAGCTCACTTCAATATTTACTCAATCTAATTTCTTCCTATTTTTCTTCTAAAATTACCTGCTGCCAGGAATAAGCTTGTTCAATTTATTTGTATAGTTAAAGATTAAATTTTCTTTAGGACACTGTAAGTATCATGGGGGTTTTGCTATAACAGTGAAAACTGTTTTTTTTATTAAAAGTACAAACAATAAAGGTAAAACTGAAAAACATACGACCCATTCCTATTTACTATACATCATGTCTAGACTGATGATAGGGGGAAAGACAATTTATTTTCTATCCATTAGAAGGTTTTTTATAACCTTAAAAATCTGGAATTGCTTTTTACTGACTAAAATTTGGACAACCTATGTGATAAAGAAGCTGTCCATGGATCCAACTCACATTTGCAGAAAGCCGGTATGCAGAATTTTTCTCAACTTACCCTTCCACCATTCTACTCCATAAGATACAGAGAGAGTGTAGGAGACTTTCCACAGAGTCTAGTGTAAATGATGACAGATAAGGTGCTTCTGTGCTGAGGACAGAAGATGTTGGGAGACTACATGAGAAAGTAAAATTAAGTATAGATGAGCAGTAACTACGTAAATGGAGAAAGACGCAGTCAACAGTATTTTTCATTAGCATCTTCAAAAACCCACCAGAAGAAGAAAGGAAAGTTAACAGTTGGTCTTCTCCAGGATATTTCTGGCATCTGATGTAGATAAACAACTCCATCTCACTACCTTAAATCACTCAGTATGTCTTTATACACAGCAGGAAGGAAAAAGTCACATCCAATCTATCTTCAGGATCAAGATATTTAAATTAAATCAGAGAAGCAGTGGCCATTTTTCTCCACTGGTGCAAAGAAAGCTTAAGCATCTTAGATTTGGATGTCCACACTAGAGGTATCTAAAATTATGTTGAACTCCCCTCTGACATTTGCTTCCAGAGAGATCTTAGCAACTTTTATGACAGACATCTCAGAACTCTCCATACACAAGAAACCCTTGTAGGTTTGCATTAGTTACAGAGTAGGGAATTGTTTCTCCAGAGAGTGCCTAGTTTTGTCCTAACATCCTCATTTACAATTCTGCGAGGAAAAATATATTACCATATTATTAAGGGTTGCAAAATACATAATAGCAGGCATTCACCTTTTGCCCAGTCACCCATTTGCTGACATTTATGAGGTTTCCCCAGTTTTCATTGTGAAAGATAAAGCAGAAAACACCTTCTACTTTTAGTCCTAATCAATATCCTTTAATTATTAGAACAACAGGATGAAAATTATTCCAGGAAACCACTTAGAACCAAGAAAATAATCTCATTAAAAATAAAATTAAAAACAAACAAGCATCCCACAACCCATGAGTGAGGTAAACATGTGATGAGCCAATTTATTTTTTCATCCTGAACTACAGCCTATGTAAAAGGACACAAACACATGCAGCTTCCTATTATGACAGCTATACATCATACAAGAATCTGAAATCAAGCCAAAATGCACATACCAAAATGCTCCTTTCCACTAACTACAAGTTCAGTAATAAAATCCTTTTCTCCTGAAGAGAAAAATCTGCAGCCAGTGTAAACTGCCAGAGATCAATAAATGCTAATGAACCTGCCAAATTTTAAGAGCTATACATCGAGATTCAAGAGGGCAGGTAGATAACAGGAGGTAGCTACACAAGAAGCCTCATTTGATTAGGCATTTATAAGACAAAAAAATCCATTTTTAATTAGCTAAAGCTCTGCAAAAGCTCTCTACCTCCATCTTCTAGCTAACAAAAAAAATTCAAAAATAATTCTAGCTTGCAAAAAAAAATCATTTTCCCCAATTTTGTTCTAGAAAATTTATTTAGTTTTTTAACTTAGAAAAAGTATTTAGATAGAAGAAGTTCTGAATAGCTGAGCCAGGGATTTGGATTGTCTGAGTATTTTGTTCCTCTAGAAACATGGCTGCTGGCTTCTTTCCTTCTGCATGTAAGGCTTTTTGATGTCTTCCTGAAGCTAACTTTGGTAATATGAATGGGTTTTTTTGTTTTTAACTGCTTAACTGCACCAACTGGTCTGTTACAGTTTTTAAAACAATATGCTATTGTAACAGCTTTGTAAAAGCATGAAAATCATAATGAATTCTCTTATAACCAACACTTAAAATGATCCTCATTGAGAAAGTATTCAGTGTTTGTTTTCTTTCACATAAACCCCATCAAAACATGAAGTATATTTGAAATAAGATAATCAATATAGTATTAGTCAAGGATAAATTATTTCTAAAATTATAAATTAGATTATATGTTATTATCTCAGCACTGCAATAGTATGCTATACCAAAAAAAGCTTAATTAATGAAAACTGCACACTCCCATTTGCACCAAACGGAAGTGGTAGAACCAAAAAAAAAAATAAAAATACTGTGAATATTTTGGGTTACAGAAAACCTGACATCTTAGAATAACACAGCAGTATAAGGACCTTCTGACAAAACAGGCACTATTTGTTCAGCTGGTACTAAAAAAGTTGTGTGAACAACTGAGATATGAACTCGGTACATGTGCCCTGAACTTTTACAGGACACAAGAGAACGTTCTACCTATAAATGTTAATGAAAAAGAATGAAATGTGAAATTCTAGTCTCACTTTATTAAAAGTACACTTTAAAATCCTTTTTTTTTTTTCCCCTCTTTAAAAATAAAACTAAATTAACATACAGTGATATAGTGTGTAGGATTTTTGAGGGCACCTCAAGTCATGAGTACCCCTACTCTGCAAACAGTAGAAAATTAGAATACACTAAACAGAGCAAGACATAACTGTCCTCTGTTGTGGGAAAAACACAGTTAAAAGGGAAGTAGAAAAACAGTTCAAGGAAGCATAAGAACATAGACTCATAGATCCATAAATACAGAACTTAACTTCCTCATTCTCAACAAGAACAGGATTTCTATTTTAACAAATATACCAGATTCAGAAGCTGCTGAGAAAAATCCAGTAAAAATGGAAACATTTACGAAAAAGCAGTACATGAGATTCATCTAAACTGTTTCAATTTGCTTTCAGGATTGTGATGTCTTTTAGAAGACAGATCATTAAGCCTGAGATTTATATCATATGACCACCCTGAAATTCAAGAAAATGCACTGCTAATCTTTCAGTTTGTCTGTTCTTTATGATACATTGTTCTGACTGCCCTTTTCTGTCTTACTAGGCTTACACCCAGAAGATCAGATGATCTTCCAGACACCTTCAGCATATCTACAAGAAAATTCTTACCAAGCACCTGAATATTAAAAGTAACTCTTGCAGCAATTTAAACCTTTGTATCATAAATAAAGTTCCAGTAAAACAATAATATTTGTTTAATGTTAGAAACTTTCTTCCTAAGCAAAAGATGATGAGAATTTGTGAAAACTACCATGCCAGGTTTTATCACTTGAACATTAAAGAGTATAAACTAGTACTCTGGTCTGTTGTAAGTAATCATAAAAAGCTCTAAAAATACAAGAATAATTTCTCCAACCACAATTCTGTGCCTCATGCTATAAAAATAGAGCAGGCATGCAATTTTTCTTCCAATAAAGCTACAGGGCAATTTTCCAGAAGAAGAAGAATGGATTTGGAATCTTATCACAAAGACTTCCAATTAAAAATCACCAGTTAAAGGAAGATGGCCTCAAGCACTAAGTCTCAAACTGCTTGTCAAATAGTGTCAGCTCTAATGAAAGCAATTAGTAACTGAAGTTTTTAAGACTAGTACTTCTGTGTACAAAAAGATTGTTGAAAAGGCTTTGAGGCACCCACCCTAAATTACAGAAGCAATAGAGTATTTTACTGTCATTCTGAAATCAGACTTTATTAGGGTAACTAATTGTCTATAATTGTTCACTCAAAGTAGTAACTAACATTATTCTGTGACAAACAAACCACAAAGTTCAAGTTATGTTAATCAGAATGGCTAACAAAAATAAAAATCTAAGCAAGTTGGTAACAATATGAAGAAAATCTGAACTTTGGGATAAAAATCTCACAATTTGCCAGCCTTAAGGGACACTGTTCTAGATCATGATAGAGGCCATCATGAAGTTGCGTTGGCTGTGTAGCCATGTTAATATGGTCAAGAACTTTGATTTAAACTTGCACGCATTCTTAGATTTGGTTTAAGCTTATGTTATGTTAGCACAAGAAAGCATTTTACAGTAGCTCAAAATTTGCAACCCAAAGCATGTAGTAGTATTTAGCAAACATGAGTTTCTAAATAAAACCTAAAAGGTATGGAGAACTGAGATGGTATAGTTATTATAACTCCCTCAGAAACTTGTACTGTACTACTTGTCAGGTTTTCTTAACAAAAAGAACAGAAAAGCAACGCCAGACTAGACAGTCTAAAATGACATATATAAAATGTTTTACCCCATTCCATAAAAACTGGAAAATTATACCTCCATTTCTAACTACTGCTTTTTAAAATGGTTTACATATACATTCAAGCATACTCGCTTTTCTCATTCTGCAGTTACTAGTAAATTTAAGTAAAAACATAGAAAATCAGGCCAGGCAGAGAGACTGTTAGTAGGGTAAGTATTTCTAAATAACTATTTCAAGACATACTCATGCTAATATTGATATTTTTTTTTTTTAATTAACAGCTGCTAGATTTTAAATTTTTCATTTTTTCAAATGTGGAACAGCATTCATCTCCAATCACATGGGACTGCTACTATTCATAGCAGCACCTTTGCAAAACACCAGCAGCATATGGAAGCAGGGTCTCTTCTCTATTCTCAACCCAAAAATGTGAGGTTAACTTAGCCAAGGTTGGAGAACATATTAACAAGATGACGAACGGGTTGCACTACTACTATCGTATTTCATGGTAATGCCTTTGAGGATGAAAAGAAAACCAGGTTCTAGAAAAGTCAAGCCAACAGCCATTATAAATATTAAGTTCACTTCAACTATTTACAACTAAGAACTACATTAAACATTTAATAAAACATTAAATCTGTTTTCTTGGTTATTGTAATTACAATACCCATGAAAGTAGTTTAAAAATTTGAATCTCTTAATGCGGATAACTGACATTCTTCAGTGAACTCTGAATCAAATTCTACTCCTGAGAATATGAAAAGTTCCTACCTAGGCAGACAGTCAAAAACTTTAATGAAAAGATGGACACAAGATGAATCTCTGTAATAATCTAGAGTTGTTAATACATACATATTCAAAGACTGAAAATACAGTTAACAAATGTATCTAATGTTTGTATGAAGTGGAATTTACAAAATCTTTAGGAAAAACTAACTATAAAGCTAATTCCACCAGGATTCATATATACAATGAAATTACCTACTGCTTTTCAGGAAAACGGTGTCTAAAAATGCAGTCAGTTACACCTTGTCACCTCACAGTCAGAGCATATTTTACACAGTTGCTTACATTTCCTCTACTTAAGAAACTGATCAAGCACAGGAAATTTTGCAGACTAGTATAAACCAATTTTGAGGAAAAATCTTTAAGTTACTGAAGCACAGCAACAGAATGCAGATTTTTAAAGTGATAATTACCATTAGAAGAAAGCAATGTTCAATGAGGATAACCATTTTAAATTTTTAATTGGTTTACTTACTCTTATATGTAGGATATATCTAGGTATTACCTCATACTACTAACATGAAAAAATATTACTTTTACTGTACACAAAAAAGGATATCATTCCAAAACCAGAAGAACCATGTCACATACATCCAGAATTTTGTTGCCAAGTATATTCCAAGAGGCAGTGCACTGTGCATGGAGTGATCAAAGAAAGACCTGTAAAGTAGGAGCAACGTTACATGATAAGTTTTGACTTATAAAATGTAAATCTGGAACCACTGCTTATGCAAAACACTTCACATTAAAATATGTACTATATGTGATATTGCAAATATGCCGTAAAAACATTTTCCCCACTTTTACCTTCAAAAATCATGAGAGATTCCCATTTTCAACCTGTCCAGATGAAGGGTCATGACTAAAAGTTAATTAAAATTTATACATTTACCTCTGAATTGAATGTCAATTACTGGAAAAGAAAGGTATAACGAGTAAATAACTCATACTAAAACTCACTGTGAAAGCAGTTAGAAACTGGTGAGATTCCTAGCCTACATAGATAGTGGTTGCAAACTATATTTACTTAAGAGATTACAATGCTAAAGATATTTTGAAAACCCATTAAATGAAAATTACATGTTAAAATTACTTCAGTAAGAAAAAAAGCTTAAGAGACCTTGGTGTTATCAGCTTGCATACTTCAAATATTTCAGATTCTTGAATCTTTCCCTTCTTTTACAGTTGCCAATAGAAAGTGGGGAAAAAAACGCAGATTAATTATTTTCTCATCTCACCAGATTTCTAAGTTTAAGATAGAATGCTGCTACTTGAATTAAAAAATTAATAATTAAGCCATCAGAACTATTGTCATCTTCTTACACTCTTGCATTTTAAAGACTATTCTGAATGAAGCTGAATATAGTTGAGACAAACTAGGTTAGTGACTAGGTTACTCCATATTCAAGAAAAAATTGTTAAACATATCAAAAGCCACACTCTAAACTGCTAAACTCCTTGTAAAGAAACTTCTTCCATCATCTACCTAAAAATTCTTACATCAATGCATTTTTCTTTTTGCCCTGGTGGTGCCCTTAGGGCTGCTACAAATGTGTGAAGAAGAAATTTCCATCTTCACTCCCTTTCAGTAACTGTGTCTTCTCTAATGGAAGTTTCTTAGGTCTTGTGAGAAAATACTACATGGAAAGTGAGCTAAAATGGTGAGTAATAAGTCAATATACATTTGGACACACAATACTCAGCAGTAATGTTTCAGCAATTTCTGTGCATTTTTTTGTGTGTGTGAAAGGAGTATCAAAGATAAAACATCTAAACAGATCACCTAAAATTCAACAGAAAGAAAATACTACTAGAATAACATCAAAAGTTTCATTCAAACCTGGACTTTGTGAAAAACACATCAAAAAGTATTTATACTAAATGTTAAGCAAAGTATAAGAGAAAGGAAGAATGTTAATCCTGAATGTGTGTCAGGGAGGCCAAAAATATAAAACTTGACAAAAATATAGATCTTAAAAACCTTGAAGAAATCTTGTCCTTGCTTCCTGCAGAAGGTGTGCTTATGGATTTGCATTGCCAAATAAATTATCTGTGTGACAAGATCAGCAAATTGCACAGCCTCAGAGATGACAAGATGATCATCTCCAAGACCCTGGAGAGAAAACAGCCTGATGCCCCTCACCCCCCTTCCAGTGTACTAAGTCCACTAAGACTCAGGAACTTGGTTTGAGGAAGATATATCTTCTTCTTTTCCTTTTCAAACAAAAAGGAAGGAGAAGCAAGTGGTTCTAATAAACATAATATTCAATGCCAGAAAGGCAGAAAGCTCATAAGGATAAAGATATAAGTTCTTCTATACATGCCACACATGACAAGGCAAAGCTAAAGATAGATGTAGTCTACAGATCTTGAAAAATCCATTGGAGCATGCCTGTTTGTCTATGTGTGCACATGTATACATAGGTGCATTTACTGATATTTACAGTAATCACGAACACAACTACAATTCTTTATGATCAGGTAACATTATTAGAAAGCAACCTTTTTCTTCAGTCACCCCTTTCCACAACAGAATCTGACTTCATTCCTCTCTGTAAATCTCTTCAGGTGCCTTTGGGTATTTAAAGTCTAAAAGAATAGGTTTTAGTAGCAGACTTGCAGATATCTTTCTTCCATTCCTTTCTAATAACTTTCCCCTTGACTGCCTTCTTCAAAATTCACACTGATAACTTTGTAGACAGACATTCAGCACCCTCCTCTGGATAACGACTGAATTTCTGTTCTGCTGTTAGCTTCTATTAGCTCAGTGGTAATCACAGAAGGTAATTCCACGGCTATTTGCAAGACAACAGAGCTAAAGTTGCACAAGATCTTTCCCAGAAATAGTAATTTTAAAAAGTCTGACAAAAAAATTAATGTTGCATGTCAAAAAACCACACAAAAATAGAAATTTAAGATTATTTATCCAATAAAGATGCCAGCAAAACACTGTGTGCACACTAAACAGACATGATCCTGGTAAAACACTTACTTTGAAAGAAACTGCACCATAGCCCAAACGCCACCATACATCAGCCCTTTAATGAGCCAAGAATCAATGTCTAGGTCTGCTATAAACCCAACCAGCCAAATAACTAGGAAAGGAGTTCCCAGCATCACCTTCTGACGGAATTCCTATATAGAAACAAATATCAGTAAGCAACTCTATTTTCAGGAACAGATTGTATAATAATATTCTATATTAAGTAGGACAGTCACAAAAAATTTTTTAGGAAACTTGATGCAGGGGGAGGAATCTTCATAAATTTTTCTCATTTCCTATATTTACATATCTCCAGTGAATGTGCAAGAAAAAAAATCTTTCTAAAATTTTATAACAAATCAGCGATTTTATATATTTTAGAACTGTCTTCTAGAGATTTTGATGTTAATCCAGAATAAAGGCAAAAGTAGCTCTTTTTAAGAAATCTGTTGAAGTGTATAAACTACTACACAGCACATGGTAATCTCAGTGAACTTTGAAGACTGCAGTTATGTAAGTAATAAAGTCATACTGAAGCATCTATTAGGAAATACAGGACCTTTTTTTATCTTATACTATGTGGGTACAAATCCTGATGAAGGCACTGAACTCTTTCCAGACATTCCAAGCACAGTCACAATGCACATGTACACACAATGCAATGCCCAAATCACTTAAAAGTCAATAATCACTGCATTATTTTATTATCACAGGGTTAAAGCAGATTCTGTAGCCAGTGCTTTAATCATCAAGATGCAATGTATTTTTAAATCAAGAAGTTGTAAACAAATCGGTGATAGCAATATTAATATCCAGCACAACACTTTGCCTGGTAAGAAAATATTAACTCTATATGTTATCAACCTGTAGGCAGGTAGACAGTTCTTCATGCTAGAGCAGTATGTTACCTGTTATACCCTAATTTCTTGCCTCCTCCTATCTTCAGTATTAAATAGTAAGTGGAGAATAAAAAGGCCTCCACATTACAGATTCACATATTACATTACACTGCTTTCATTCAGCACAAAACACTACATAATTAGAGAGGACATCAGAGTTCAGGACATCTAAATTGTTTCTTTCCTTAGATATTTGAAAGTCAACTTTATTAAAAGTCCTGGCCATCACCAACAACACTAGACCATTGGTACATTCCTAACATTTAGTTAGCAAAAAACCTAAAGGTAATTGTGTGGAGACTTGGGGTTTTCTTTCCTCCTGCCTCGAATTTTTTTTTCTATTGCAATTACTTTTGCCATAGCAAAAAAGTGTTTCCTAAAACTGAAATGTGGGGAAACCACAGTAGTACTGAACTGCTTACCTTAAAGAAACATACATGCCCCCAAACCAATAGTAGCAGAAATATTTGATTTTATGTGTTATACTACTACTTACCTTATCAGCTTTTAATTTTCTCAGAAAGGATGGACTGTCATATCCCTTTGCCTGCCTTGCTTCCTGTAGGTGATTGATCATCCAAACGTTTTTCCTCTGTTTTGCTAGATCAAGCGGTGATTCCCCCTGCCAGGAGTAAGTGGGAAACATCCAATTTAAAAATAAAGTGCATTCAGAGCAGATTTGAAACAGCAGATTGGCAGGTAAAAATAATACATTTTAAATCAGTTTAAGCTACATTCTGGCATACATTTTGCCCTGCAGCTTACTTGACACCAAACATCATTCATTCCTTTTGGTCTTTTTCATTCTCTTATGACTATACACATGCATGGACAAGTAAAATATTAAATGTGTGATCCTGATAATATATATATATACTGACATAGCAATAATTGTTACTACTGGCATAACACATTTATGCTTCACTCTTCTACACACAGTCCACTAGCCTGTGAAATGAAAGACCCTTCTTTCCCCTCAGCTATTGACAGGCAGCAGAAATCAAGCAAAGAATAAGAACTCGTGACCCACTGGATCATGGAAACTCTCCCAGTGTACAGCCTGACTTCTCAGTTAATTTTCTGCCTTTCTGGCAGAGTGAATTTACTAATGTAATGAAATTTTTCTATAAGGATTTTTTTCCACAAGCTTAATGTTCTTATATTCACCTCAGTTACTCAAGTCCTAGGAAGAAAATGGAAAAGAATAAACTGATTGCTCATGTCCAACTTATTCCAAGACTGAGCTTTTATGCTTAGCTTGTGCTTCTTGTACTTTGGGTGCTAAGCCAGCAACAGCCCATGCTTTCTCTTTCCCTACTTTTAGAGAGGACTAACAGACAAAGCAAAAGAGAGACACAGAGAGAGATACAGGGGCCAAAGGTGCCTATCAAACCGATTTGATTTTATTGCTTTTTATATATTTAGGAAGAGAGCTAAATGAAAGTTATTGACTGGGTCTAAAATTACAGAGGAGGCAAGAGACAACCAATTGCAGGTACCTCCAGCTTCAGTTTTGCATTTGACTCCTCCTCTCTTCTACTGGAGTTAACTCCCCTCCTAAACAAACCATTCATGGAGGCTTGAAAAATGGCTGAATCCTCCATCGCTCGGCCCCCTCCTAAAAAAAAAGTGAGACAGGTACCAGAAACTGAAATTACCCAGAAAGGGCAATAATTACTACAGACAGAAGAGATTTCAAAGATTAAAAATTATGGTTAGCTACCTATATCCCATAGAAAGACAATGGGAACTGAGTATTTAACTGCCATTTTTGCCTTTGAAATCTCACTCCAAATCTCTAAAGGAGAGCAAATAGCACAGACTATAGATTATGAGATGAAGTTTTTTGCTACTTAACAGGATCTTGCACTCCTTCTGTGTGAGAAGTTTAACTAACAAAATCTGTTAAAAAAATAATAACCTTTTGACTTAACTTGGCTTCAAAGTTGTTTAGCCAGATCTTAAGAAACAGATTGTTAACTCCATTCTCAGCAGAAATGCCTGAGGTCAAACTATGGTGCCTGCTTGGTCACAAATCTAACAGCACCTTGAATTGCCAATATCTGGAAAACTCCAGAGATGCTGTTGTTTTATTACCACCTTATATATCCAGACTGTAAAGATTACCTGTGGACAAGCAATCCCCTCTGGGAGATGATCTCCCAAGTAAATCCTGAAGTTGTCTTGGGGTCCAGCTGAGCATCCCTTCCACTAGAGGGCCATGAGACACCTAGGAACTGCCTAAATAAAAAGATTGAGGGAGCTTTAAAGAAGTCTTCGACTATGCTTCTCATAATCTGGCCATTTTAATATTTTCCTTGTATTTACAGGGGTGGTGGATAGCTGACTTATTTAGAAAGAAAAAAAAAAGGGGGGGGGGGGGGGGGGAATTCATAGCTTGCCAGAAAGCAATAAGGCTTCAATAGTATATATTTAAAGGGTTTAGATAGAAAAAATAATCTGAAGAGTCATTACCATAGGGAACATTACATGTAGACTTCCACAGACAAGCTCACAGATACACTGCATAACAAAGAAACTACATCTGAAATCCATTCAGTGAATCAGTAATGGATTTAAAAAATAAAAGTTTTTTTTAAAAATTCCTTAAACCATAGACACTCCTTTAGGTCTCTATCACTCTCTAGCAAAAATGGAGCTTCTACTTACACTTTAAATAAAATTTATGTGTTTCCCTGCAATCCCCAGTGACAAGCTGAGTCACTGTGAACTCCTGTCCTCATCTGCCCAATCTGTCTACTGGTGTGGCAAGATAATTTCCTTTTATAAAAGTCAACCAAACAAAAACTCAAACTGACTACTGAAAATCACCTTCCAACTCTAACTGCAATCCAGTTCTCACAAAGGTAAAAGAAAGTATCTTACTACCAAAAGAAAAGTATTATTTTCTTGTACAGCATAATAAGAGGATAAATAACAAAACCAGGACAAACTTACTGGTTCAATTAAGCTTCATTCTAGAATAAGAGTGCTATTGTTTGTATGCTTCTCAAACTGTCATGCAAAGGAAAGAAAGCCTCTTACTGAGATGACAGATTTTAATTTCTTCCAAACCCAGGTGGCCAGTAGCATTTGCCTTTCTAACACAGACTGCCTAGGGCTGGTTACACAAGGTCAAAGCTCACACTTAGCATTTCAGCCACTTCATAATTTGAAGAAGATAAACAGCTTTCAGCCAATGTATTTCTTTAATGTTAGCTGTCTTACAACCATTCCTGGTCAACTCCATGGGCTGAGATAAGGACTCACTAGACAGTGCTGCAGAAATCTGGAAGTGACTGCATCAGAAAGGAGCCTTTCACAATTCCTTTTATTTCTGGGGGGACATGAGCCAGACACTTAAAAAACAGGTTTTGGCTCAAAGAAAACTTTTTTGCTGAACAGCCAAAGCAGAAGCACAAAACTGAGTTTCTATGTACCAATAAAAATCAACCAAAATCCTTATGTTTCCTATGTTTACTATCACTCCAATCAGCATCTGTTACATTGCCACTGGCAGGATGGAAAAATTGTCACTGCTAGAATGATTTTGATCCTCTGAAGATCCTAGAAATCTGGGAAGACATGCAAGAAACTGAGACTCCACGGCAGAACACAAGCAATGATTAATGAAACCAAGCATGTCTTCTGGTATGACTGGAAAGATAGCATGATCCAGTAGGTTAAAAAAACTATTTTTCTACTGACTGCTGCTGTCTGCCAATAAAGAAGGAGAGACCATGAACTGCTTCAGGCTAGAAGATACTTTTTCATTTGGCCAAACATATGAATTTTTTATTACGGATTTACTAAGAGTCCAGAAATCTAGGTAAGGTGATGACTTCAAAACTCTAATCACACTGATCAGTCTGCCAAGGGAAGCAAGGTATGACACACTGATTTTTTTTTCCACAAAAATACCTTAATTTTTACCATTAGGTGGCATAGAAAAAAAGCTTTTCAACAGTTTACAAGAAGTGAGACTAGAAGTATAATTCATCCACACAACTGACCTTACAGACCAGGAATAATTATATATTCACATCAGTACATCAGTACAGTACAGCAAGAGGCTAGTTGATTTGTTTTAAACACTTGAAAAGCCATGTGATTTTTCTAATGAGTTTTCATTCATTATCATCATCAGTATTTCTGGTATTCTGAAGTGGATGTAGCTTTAGAAAAGCTACTAGAAAAATTTGACTGCACCTTAAAAAGACTGTTCCATGCTGTTCAAGAAAAGAGATGTGTATATATGGGGTTTTTTTAGCATATTTCTATTACTTGTGGGCAAGGAAAATAGGCCATCTTAAATTTGTAGGGAAAATGGTGAAAGGTCAAATAAATTTAAGTATTTAACATTTTATAAATATAGATTTACAGCTCTATTTTCCAGTGTAACCACTCCATTTGTAACACTCATTAAATGGAAAATACAAATATTAGAAGAGAAATTGAGTATTCTTTTTCTAAAAGTGAATTCTTCTCTGACACCACAGAAAAAGTAGGTTGGGTAGTGAAGTGCATCTAATTCGCTATACAGAACAGTCTGGAGGAAAGGGACAAAACTACACTCAATAGGCACACCTTCCACTGATGGAGAAGCTCTTACAGACTCCCCAAGTCTATGGCATAAATTCCAACAGCTGCTTGGCTGGTCTAACATGTGCTAGGGAGGGGCTCTGTTAACGCTGAATCTAGCTTTGTCATTAAGAGGTTCTGGTAAGAGTAATTGGGCAACTTAAAAATTCTGATGCAAGAAGAGCCCATTTTCTTATTTTACTCCTACTGGTATTTTTAGGCCTCCAATTTCCTTACTTTCACGGGAAGATATACTAGGGCATGTGTCATCTCTGTGAAGGAGGGCAGAGATGTCTTGCATCTCACTCCAACAGTCACCCTAGAACTTCACTCAAAGACATTCAGTCAGATTTTCAATTTTGCATCCATATGCATGGCTCTTCACACAAGTAGTCTAACTGTGCACCCCACTCCCATATATTTGCACATAACCATTGGTAAATTATTTATGTGAATACTTCTGAAGGTGCAGATTTAGTGGTTATGCATCAGTGTTAGGAAGAAACGATTCTGAAATTAAACAGTAGTTGCATGGCTTTTGCTTCATCTTCATGATTCCGCCATACCCACAACAATCACCTATCCTTGAGATTTATCATAGGCTCTGTTATTTCTGCCTCAAATCACTTACAATAAAAACAGACCAAGTGTTTACCTTTATATTTTGAGCATCAACGTTAGCTCCAGCTTCTAACAGAAGACTAATAACTGTAGTATTTCCTGCTAGCACAGCCCAGTGCAGTGCTGTGTTTTTGTGATATTTGTCTCCAAGATTAACAGAAACATTAAATGTAAGTAGTAATCGGGTTGGATCCACACTAGAAAAGAAAATTCTTGTTAGATCTACAGATGAACTAAAATACATACCAAATTATTGTTAATGAGTTTAATTTCTATAAAGAATGTTGATCAAGTACACTGTGACACTTTTTACTGATAATTAGGAATGGCTCAAATTCCCTTCCCACCAAAGAGCATTCACAATTCTATTGTCTTTTAAAGGAGCTCAGTAAGACAGCTTGTTCTGGGATGTCATGAAACACGTTTGTTATACAATTCTGTTTTCATGTTTACCAAAACCTAAGAGTATTAACAGATTTGTAAAAGCATGCACATGATTATATAATTGGCAGGTAAGAACCAAAGTTCAAAACATATTTCCACCTCACATACCAAAAGATGAAAATAAAAAAGGATTATAATGTTGGTAATGGTAGCTATTTGTAAAAACTAGCTTATGTTCCTCTCAACAATTGGTGGAGGACTGAATTAAGATTCCTTCTGAGCAGGAATCTAATTCAGACACATTTGCTCTTTGGAGAAGTGTTATTTTACACCAACTTTTCCAATCATTTTTACTTTGTAACTGAAACTTCTTATCAGTGAGTAATTCTGCATAATATCCTCTTTCCTGATTAGGACATTGTACTAGTTTTGGCTGGGATCAAGTTAATCATCTTCATAGTAGTTCCTATGGTGCTGTGTTTTGGACTTGTGACTAAAACAGTGTTGATAACACATGTTCTAGCTACTGCTGAGCAGTGCTTAGACAGTATCCAGGCCTTTTCTGTTTCTCACACTGCTCTGCCAGTGAAAAGGCTAGGGGTGCACAAGAAACTGGGAGAGGACACAACTGGGATAGCTGAGCACAACTGCCCAAAAGGAAATTCCAGACCATATGATAAAAGCTGGGGGAAAGAAGGAGGAAGGGGGGACATTTGGAGTATGGTGTCTGCCTTCCCAAGTAACCATTACACATGACAGAGCACTGCTGTCCCGGAAATGACTAAACATCTGCCTGAAGGTGAGTAGTAGTGAATGAATTCTTTGTTTTGCTTTGCTTGTCCATGTGGCTTTTGCTTTACCTATCAAATTTTCTTTATCTCAACCCGTGAGTTTTCTCACTAGTATCCTTCTGATTCTCCTCCCCATCCTGCTAGGTGGGAGTGAGCAAGTGGCTGCATGGGGCTGAGCTGCCTACTGGGGTTAACTCACAACAATCATAAATGAAGATAAAGTGCCAATTGCGGGAAGAACATCGACTAGTTAAAATAAACTTTCCAAAAAAGCAGAACTAGTCACTACTATATGCCACTTAGTTAACATCAAGACAAAGTCTAAATTGCAGGGAGATGTTACCTATGTGTTCTGTAAGCTGCCCACATTAAAGGTGTCATTCCATTTTGATCCATCATATCTACATCCTAAAAAAGGTAAAGAAAAAGTTGGTGAGATGAGTAAGTATGTTCAAGATCCAGTAGATACAAGGTTTGCAGTGACAAACAGTATTCTAAAACTAGCCAAATGAATTGGAGAAAAACTGGCAAGCTTTTAGTACATAATAAAAAATGAAAACAGACATTAACACTGCCATTGCAAATATATATAACCATTCCCATCTATTTTGGAAACTAAGGAACACTCATGCTGCATAACATTAGTCATTTCTCTCTTACTATTAATCTTCAACATAAAAGATACATAGAGATGGTGTATTACTGCACTCAAAAGCAGGAGAAAAACTAAAATAATGCACCAATATTTAATAAAGTACTTGATAAATTAACGTAAATAAATACCATGGCCTGAATCCTACATCCTACTGAATGTTATCTGCATCTATTTTTCCACTTTCAAAGCAATTTTCCTTAGTTCACTCAGTTCCAAAGGTATTTACGTATATGCATGCCAGAAAATTTATAAGTTTAAACAAAAGCCATTAACAAAAACAACCTATCCAGAAATAAAACTTATCAATAATCAAGTGGTGATTAAACCCAGGGCTAAAAATAAAAACACATTACACTTAACAGAACATAGCCACAGAATGACAAAATAGCACCATCCAGACAATTCTCTTAGATCTGTCAGAAAGGATCTAATACCTACAGCATTTTTCCTTGTTATAGATCTCTGCCTCACTAACATGGAAGTTGGTAATTCCTAAATACATTGAGACAGATTAGACTCTCAAGAACATCTGGGTAAGTTCCACAGGCCACTGCAAACAAAATTACCCTAAACTAACTTAATGTAAGATCTGAACAGTTCTCCTTAGAGACAACAGAGCTATGTCAATGTTTTCTAAGCTACCCCCCTCAGTCCTTACTAGGAAAATTAGGTTTAAAGTGTTTACTTCAGTAAAGTCTTTTGCTACAGAAACTACTGATAGAAACTCAGAGAGTGGATGATGTAGCTTTCTACCACCCCCAGAATCTTCTCCACTCCAGTAGTCTGCCAAATGCCAGGCACCCTGGGATTTGGGTGGGATCCCTGCTCATGGTGCTGCTAGCCTGGCCCAGGCAGAAGTTTTCCAGAAAATCTAAATTAGTTCTTCCAAATAACTTCTTTTAAAACATCCGTAGACTGCAGACAATTTTACATATCTGAATTTTTACTCTGTTGCTTAATTTAAAAAAGAAAAAAATTAAAAAACAGTTGATGGAGAGGAAAGAGAACCATTACTTTATTGTACTGTCTGCTCAGAAGACATACATGCATTGAGAACGGGATCAAAGTCTGTTTGCCCACAATACTTGTATAGATTAGATCCTTTTGAGCCTACTAGGACCACATAACTGTTGGCACTCCCTTTAAGGTCCTGTTGTGAAGGAAATTAGAACTTTGATTCACAGGTCACATTGTGAGAACAACATATTGTGAAGATTGTACAAATTACTGTAACATGAACAATCACTATTTCATCTTTAGATTTCATATAGAAAAGCAATTCTTCTTGATAACAGGGACCTGATTCCCTGGATGTAAGTAAAATGATTCCTTCAGTGACTCCACTTGACAAATCAAAACCATACTTCACACAGTAGGTGACACTCAACTAAAAAGGGGGAAAAAAAAAAAAAAAAGCCATGAGCTCCAGACTATTCCCTGCATATACATCACCTAGGCAGGCTACAGCTATTACTCATATTAAGCTACAACATGCGCCGAGGCAGACCCCTTTTCAAAAGAACTTTAAATAAGGGGCAAAGCAACTAAGACCGACTTGCGTACTGTTGTATATTGTGGTTAGCAGACTGTGCTGGTTTTGACGGGGACAGAGTTAATTTTTTCCATAGCAGCTAGAATAAGACTATATTTTGGATTTGTGTTGGAAACAGTGTTGATAATGCCGAGATGTTTTAGTTATGGCTGAATGGTGTTTACAGTGTCAAGGCCTTTTCTGCTTCTCATCCCACCCCACCAGCAAACAGGTTGGGGGGTGCCTGAGAAGTTAGGAGGGGACACAGACAGGAGAGCTGATCCCAACTGACCAAAGGGCTATTCCAGACCATATATGGCATCAAGCTGGGGGAAGAAGGAGGAATGGGGGGGGACATTTGGAGTGGTGGTGTTTGCCTTCTCAAATTACTGTTACATGTGATGAAGCCCAGGCTTTCCTGGAGTCAGCTGAACACCTGCCTACAGTGGGAAGTGGTGAATGAATTCCTTCTTTTGCTGTGCTCCTGTGCATGGCTTTTGCTTTGTCTCTCAAACTGTCTTTGTATCAACCCATGAGTTTTCTCACTTTTACCCTTCTGACTCTCCTCCATCCCACTAGCAGGGAGTGAGTGAGCAGCTGGGTGGTGCTTCGTTGACAGCTGGGGTTAAACCCACAACACAGACACATGCTCTAACAACTTCTCACCAAAATTTTTTGTTATTTACTTTGCCAGATTACTACTAGAACCACATAACAAGTGGGACATTTCAGAAAGTAAGCTCTGTTGCTGCTTTTTACCAAAGGGCTGACGCAAAAAAGGAAACATTCAGCAGCAGGTCCGTATCAGGAGACTGGTCTTCTGTTCTGATGTGTGCCAACAGGCATTTTAGCATTAATTTCTTGTTTAACTCTCAGTGACAGGTCAATCTGATAATGCTCATACAAAGGGGTACCTTGTGCTGCTAGGACTCAGTAGAAGAACCAAAGATTTCAACAATAAGTGACACAGCCATCATAGATTGCGCATACTCTGTATGTATTTCAAGCATGAACTCTGTGGACCACAACTGGCAAATTTTTCACTTGCTTCTGAAACAGGAACAACTTTGCATATGCAAAGATAACCAGACTTAATCCTAGGATACTAATACAAGATTCCACAAAAAGCTTTAGGAGAGGCAAAAATATAGGGGAGACAGAGCTTCCTGCATGGAAAGGAGCTGTAGCATTACAGCTGCTTAACACTACTTTCTGAAAGCAACACAGTTGATGAGGTAGGATTCTGAATAGCAGCTGGAGATCAGAGCAGCATTTAGGCTTATCAGAACATTTAACAAGCAATGGTGAAACCAGTTCTGTGATACAATACAGCTTTTTGAAAAGCACAAAAAGCATCAAGAGATTCCACTTAGAATTGCATCAAACTGTGCAGCAAGGGACAGAGAATTTGATCCTCTTTAGAACTGCTTATTTCACAGAACACAGACCTTCACAGAAAGACCCATCACACCCTTGTTGAGAAGCCTATTCTCCGTAAGGAAAAGATCTTTCACACGGACTGTTGCCTCAGGAAAGGGAAACAGGTTTCTAAAGAGATGACATATTTAAAAGCTTATAGTAAAGAAGATTTATCAGGAAGGAAGATGTAAGGCTGAAAACATTTCCTAATTTAGGAAAGCCGTGCTAGTTATTCACTAGAAGCAGAGATTTTGTAAGACTCTTGTGGAATGAAGCAACCACAAACTGACAGGCAGAAGGTAACACACAGAACTGAACCTACCTCGTTCTTTCAAAGAACACAAGCTCTGAGTACTCTAGTCCAAACACAGTCAGTTTTGACAATAATAAGGAAGAAACACGACTGGACATACAATTCTGTCAATAATGTGCTGTAGGTTGGGGCTAAAACACTTGGTTCAGTGTTTTACACTAGCCTGAACCCGGTGGAGAGAACGATCCTCAGTTCCAACAGAGCTAACAGTGCTTAGGAGCATGGCTCAAAGACTGCAGCACCAGAGTAACCAAGGCTGCCGGTATCTCCCAACCTAAATGCCAACTACTCCTAGGCCATAGCTCAGAAGAAGGCTCTTTGTAGCTCAGGAAATTTCAACTCTGAGAAGAAAATACATACTTGATGAATAAGTGTTAAACTATGAGTATGAAATATTTAAACTACAATTTTAGCTCCAGAATATTTTCTACAACATGATTTTATCCTACTAGCAACTTTATAGCCACCCATTATCTGTGATTGATGTTAGTTATCTCACACATGACACAGGATGAAGCCACATTATTCAACCATCCAACATACCATATCTATATCTTAAATTATTTTGGGGTGACATGTTTCCATATGCTAGGCTCTAACATGCCTTTGGCATTTTAAGGAGCATAAGCACAGTGTCAAGCAATCAATTAGTGCAAGCATCAATTTTGAACATTTTAAAGTTCCTTAGCTCTTTTCTTACATTTTACCTAAACTTGAACTGTGCTACAGATTCTGTTACTTGGTATCTGATTATATCATGTACTTGCCCCAGGCTTGATTTTGACCCTACTGGCACAAACTACTGGCAACCTACTGATATAAACAACATGAACAAATTATGATACAGCCAGGTATCAGTCTGTCAAAATTCAGTAGGAGACATGACTAAATAAAAAGAAACAGCTATCAGTCACTGATACCTCTTCGCTGAGTAGTACTTGCTGGTATGAAAGTAGATTCACCACCGACCAAGGCCAGAGGGCATCTGGCCAAGGGTTCTTCCCCTACACTACATTTCAGAAGCTAGAGGACTGGACTCAAGCCTCAGACTGGAAATTTTACCACTGGCTGCTGCAATGCAAGAAGAGAGTGAAGCAACACTGGAGTTGGATTCCAGCTCTGTCTCAAAAAGAGACAAGAAGCAACTGGGAGTAACTTCTTAATTCACAGGTCTCTACACAGTTATGAAAACTGGCTCTCCTCTTATCATGAGGGTCCATAAAGGCACCAGGATCAGAACTAACGAAGCACACAGCCTACGCTGAGCTTTATTTTGACATTTATTTAGTTGTGATTTACCACACAAGTACTACAATTTGGTTCAGAACAAGTGTAAGCCTACTCTTTGGATATAAGAGAACCTGGTCTCTGTAAAGACAAAAAACAAAAAAAAATTGCAAGTAGTATATAGGGCAAACGCACATAAGCAAAAGCAGTTCAAGTTTCCAAACCCAAATCATGACATCACAAAGGGTTTGGGAAAAAAAAAAAGGTATTAATGACCTCATATATACTTATTAACAGAGAATAAAAAGTAGAATCATGTATTTCCCATAGCTTCTACAGAAACCATATATTTTTTGTACTTGTATGTAGTATAGCTAGAGAACTATGAGTTTAGGAATTTTTATTACAATGATATCAATATTACTATATTTTAAACATAATATGTTTTAAACATACAAATCAATACATAATTTTAAAGTTGAACTTCCTGAAGTGCTTACAAAAAGTTACTGTTAAAATTAATTCAAACTTAGAGCATGGAAAGGATACCAAAATCATATTATACTTGATAACATTTGGAGGATTTAAGAATAATCATCCTTTTCAAAGCTGCTAATAAGCAGAGCTCTTTCCAAGAGATAATAGGTTTTAAATTTTAAAATCAAGTTTTTTGAGTTTATGTATGTGCACATGTAAAGACACACAAATTCTTCTGTACTGAAATACTGTACGCTCAGATAAATAGGACAAGTCTGTATAGAAACATGAGGACAAAAACCATTTACAGTGAGATTTCGTTATCACAGTATGTCATTTTAAAGGCCATTTATACTTCATTAATGCTATGCTTTAAACAAGTTCACACTTGTATAACATCTGCAAAATTTTTCTAGCAACATAAAATCCATATACAACTACACATAACTTGTGAACAAAATATAAAACTTGTTCCTGATGAAAAAGCATTTCTCTCCAATCATTATCTCTCACAAAATAGTGATTATATATGATCAGCCTCTTCTTGTGCCTAGTTTATTCTCTATCAGATGCTAAATAGTTTTACCAAACAGTTCTCAGGAACAAACTGAATACTACTTGGAGCAATAGTTTATATTTTATTACTTGTATAAGCACAAATAATTTTCTGCATCAAATTTAGTATTTTACACAGACCAAATCCATTCATTTAATAGTCATATTCTACCAGACTCATTGGATCATATCTCACTTTCAATTTGAAAGAATAAGCAGAATACAGAAGCTTGAACAGATTAGCGAGGCTGTAAAACAAGAGGATGACTTTGACTTTTTTATACGGTTTACAAAGTAAATCAAATTTGTGTTTCAGGCACCTATCTGTGGGTGAGTAAATCTACAGATTATCATACAGGGTGAGTAGCAAAAAGGTAAAGGTGGTTTTGAGCACACAGAATGAAGAGACAACAAGAAAAGTAATGAATACATGCCATATACACACTTTACAGATCTAACAGTCATGTAAGAGGCTAGCAGGAAGATTTTTGGATTGTTTTGGTTGGGTTTTTTATTACACATGCATGCAATTAGTAACAGCAATAAACAAACGTTGTGGACTGAGGTGTAAACAAAGAGATGACCTATGACAACGCTTTGTCATTAGATTCTTTACCCACGTACAACCTGACGATTCTGTGAAGAATTCCAAAATGTTTGCTATCATTGTCACTATTAACATTTAAAGATTAAATTCATTAGAAATAAAGAATGGTAAAAGAGTAACTGCTAGAATTTCCATATACCACACTAGACAGGTATGAACTAAAGCCAAAGTACTCAGACCACTGTTCAAAGAAATTAAGTTAGCAGATGGCACATCAATACTGTAGTTCACAATAAAAGACACTGAATTATTATGTTTAGTCTGGCAGATATTTTGCATTTCCTGAATAATAGGTATAGGTTTCAATTGTTTTCCTACTCTAATTTTGAGTAGAATCTATTTAAATATGATAGTACTTAAAATTTACCTGTCCCTTTGCTATCAGGTAAGCAACAATCGAAGTATGTCCAAACTGAGCAGCCAAATGAATACAGCTACATCCTTCTCCATCAATTAGCGACGGATCTGCCCCATATTTCATCAGCTGTACAACCATGGATAAGTGACCCTGTCTAAATGTAACAAAACACAAAAAACAAACAACTGAATAACTATATGCAAAAGAACTATTAAAATTTTAATATCTACATAAAACAAACGTGTTGAGCAGCTACCATTGGGGCTTACACACTTTGACAACAATTGTCATGACTTGATTCTGCAACCGAGTAAGCAAACTCAATGATATGAGCAAATTCCGTGCAGCCAATGCATTCACCACATGCAATTCGCTTAAGTGTGCTGTATAGCAGAAAGTCAGTCAACAAAAAAATCCCGAATTATTCGGTTAGAAATCTAGTCTACTGTGACTTCTTCCAATACACATACGAAACCTGCTATTTTAAGAGATGTCAAACTGGCTATATACTCTCATTTTCTGTGGGGCATATGGTTTGTCTTTCTACTATTAAAAACAGTAGTGAAATAAAAATAGAAGAAAAAAAGGAAAACTGAAAGCCTACACTTCCTCCACAATACATTAAAAGCTTAAGCATCTTTTTGGCCTAATGAACACAGGCATATCCTTCTTATAGGCACAGTGCCTAACTGTCAATACACAGTTTCTGAAACAAGAAAAACAACCTTTTCAATTTGTCAGAAGCAGCTTTGGATAATGCTTCACAAAACAACAGATTACAGCTGTGAACATGAGAAAATCTACGCAAGCTTTTGGGCTATTAACAGAACTTAAGAGTGTGATCTGTAAGAAATATACAAGCTATAATCTTTAATAGAGGCTAATAAGCAAGTCCTCATCTTTAGTAAACAAATTATTTTGATACATTAATTGTTCTAAAAGCTAGTTTTCTTAGTCTCCTTTTTCAGTCTGCAGTTAAAAATATTAATATGGACAGTATTCCTTTCCTGCCTGTTTCTAGGAGGTTGTCTGAAGGAGCAGCTACTGCTCAAAGGCCATCTTCAATTTTCTCAGCCATTCACTACTCTTGGGTTATCTTCTACATCAAAAACCTGATTTTAAGTGCACCTTAATAAAGTCCACACACATAATACAAGACTGCAAAGTCACACAAAATCATCCCAAGCCCCATCTTCACAGGTATTGCTGAACTTCAGAAGATTGATAAAAATAAGATCTCCAAAGTAAGAGTAAACCAAGAGGACCATAGTCTCTAATTTTACTTTACTCTTTTTTCTGTCATAGTAGTAATCTTCTTTTACAGCAAAAGAGGTAAGAAAAAAACTAAACTATATACTGAAATCTCCTGTAGCTCAAACATACCTCATTCACAGTGTATCCAGTTATCAGTGACTGAATTAATTCTTGTACCATATTCCCATAAAATACAGCAATTTCATAAAACAATTTGTAACAGATTCCCAGTTAAACAAAAACATGGGAAAAGAAAATTCCAGAAGACTTTTCCCTACCTCGTTGCCCAGTGAAGTGGGGTAGAATTTAAATCTCCTCCAAGCTGATCAACGATAGCACCTTTTGATATATAGTATCTGGAATAACAGAAACAGTAAATATTATTGCTTGCCTTGGTTAAATATAAAGGACATACAGTAATTAAATTTGATGTTATGCAAAACAGGTCGTTACAGACCACAAGATAAGAACCTTCTCTTGCCTTCATATAATCTTTTTTAGAGGTTATGCATATACATTCAATTTTTTGCCTTTTTGATATGGGTTGGGAGAGCACAGATGCTTCCTACTATGTTTGGAACATGCTGCTATTTCCTAGTTTGGTTTTAAGGTAAGATAGAATAATTGCTATATATAACAGTATGAACTATGCTACCACAAAAGTATTTAATAAAAAGGATTCTTCTAAAATATTTAGGGGTTGCTGCATTAAAAAGAATTCTGAATTATTGGTAAAATAATACGCTGCTAGAAGATTAGCATATTTAGAGAATTTTGGCTGAAAGGCAAAGTTACACACAATTCAACTTGTAGTATGTATCATCACTGAAATGGCTCTGCTGAAGTCACTGTTCCAAGAGCCTCATGCTTAAGTTAGGCTTTTAGCCAAGTACTAATATATTTACATACTTGTGAATTGTTATTAATCAAAGGACAAAAACATCCGAGTATTTAAAAAAATGCTTCTAAACAATGAGGTAGAGAATATTTTTCCCTCTAGAACATTCACGAAAAGATGACCTACCTGTAAGAACAAAATAAGTCACCCATATTTAACTGCAGCTATTCATATTCATTGTCATTTGTACTGTTTCTGTAAACTGTCTTCCTTGCTGTTTTATATGGGACACTAAACTGGTAATATTACTTTTCCTTTGTGAAAGAAAATTCACACTTTAAAAAGAAATTAACATTTCCAAAAACCAACCTTCCCAGAGGAGGCTTGTAGTTCTTCATTCACTATGCTATAAGCCAATGGAAAAAAAAGTAGTAATAACAGACCTTTGAAAAGTATTATATAGCTATAGATTCCTAAGTGCTTGCATCTTTCAAGTACCAGTGCCTGCAGACTTTTCACTTTCAAAATACCTGTCAGGCTGCCCACACAAACTGTGCTTCAAATACTCTGCATTGAGTTTCTGTCACCTTTCCTCTAAGTGTTTTAAGACACAGCAAGAAGGGCAACAAACAGAACAATTTGAAAAGTATTATCCTAAGTAACTACTTTTTTTTTTTTTCCTTTAGTGTTTATTGATTCAGAGTAAAACTTAAACAGCCCAAAATTTACTTTTAAGAAAAGAAACTGAAAAATGCATTAGCTATACCTGTCCATACTAAAAACATATAAAGGAAAAGTTCTTTTATACAGTTGATTTAGAGCCATCAGACAGAATGAAGTACTTCAGCAGACTTGCCAAAGTTTGTATGACAAATAAGACCTGCTCTGGTCAGTACAGCACAGTCCACTCTGCCGGTCTCTGACACCAAAGGAACAAAACTGCAACATCTCTCTGCTGAAGTTCAGCTTTTGGATTTCTCAATGAGAACATCCACAGATTTTCTGAAAGTCTTGGTTCCATGTAGGTGAAAAGACAAGATGTATAGAGGGTAAAGACACAACATAATTTTGTTGTTGTGAGGCGAATACCAGCTACCAAAAAACAAATTTGAAAAAGACAATGAGAAGCTATTTAGTCCCCCTTGGGAAGACGTTCCCAAGGAAATCTCGTCTACATGACAGCACAGAAATTCACAGTCAAAGCTTGGATCCATCTCGGCGATGTGACAGCCACTCGTGGGGAGGTGAACATTAAACAGACTGTCTCCATTCAAACACTGGTCCCTGCAGAAACACAGAATATGTTCAGATTCTACTGAGCAACCTCACTGCTTACTGGTTAGTACATTTTATTTAGAAAAGAACTTGCAGTTTGACAACTGGGAAAAGAAGACAGCAATCTCCTGCCAGATGGCACATTGAAACGTTTTTTTGTTTCCTTAAGAGTGTTCTTTAGACTAAGCTGACATTTATCACTGTGCTTCAGTTTCAGTACACCTAAATAGTGAGATTTTTTCTGCAAAACCAGACTGAGAACTTAATATCCCTGTCCAGGAAGATCTTGAAGAAGGAATTTTGTGCTTGCCAAGAATGTCCCTGGAGAAAGTATAAACTGGACAATTCTACTCTCAGTGAGTCATCTAAGCTTCTACACTAGAAGATGACAGGTGTGCAAGTCCTATTTCAGCAATCTACTTACATTCCAAGCAAGCAGATCTGATAAGAGGTTGTCTTAAGAAGAAAATACTCCACTGATCTCCACATTAGGATGTCTAAGTCTTTGCCAGGCATTTGAAAACTGGCGCAGTTTGCATTCGGTGTTTGCGGAATCAAATTGCACACAGTCACTGTTGCTAGAGGAGGAAAAGCAGAAGAGAAATCCTTGTCTGGAGAGAGTCTGACACGGGGAACACGGAAATGTAGGCAGTAGGTTAACTGTAGAGATAAGGCTAATTTTTGCATTTTTACAAAACTGAGTTGAAGAGAGACCAATAGAACAGCGTCATGATAAAAAGAGTATTATACTGTAGATGTCTGACACTTATTTCTGATCCTATAAAAAAATAGAAGTTTCTGCAGTTTTCTTTATAAAATATCAATGGGTTTCACCATTATCTATGCTGAATGATTACACAGGATGAACAAATACTAAAAATAAAAGAAATTCTAAGCCTGCAGGCTCCACAGATGAGCAGATAAGCTACTTCACTGGGAAGACCTTATATAGTCAATACCCAGTAAGCAAGACACTGAGATCTGGTATCACGAGAGCAGACCACTTACACTTAGACTCAATCTCCATGATACCAAGCTTGATAGACAACATATTTAATGAAATTATCCACTGCACACATTGGGCACAAATAGTGGAGACATGGGAAAAATGTGATAAGATCAAACAGAAAGAAAAACACAGGATAATTTCACTCTAAGTAAACAGAATAAACTAGTGTCTCACAAAAGAGAGAGCACACAATATGCTGAGTAATATAAACCAAAATTAAAGTCCCCTAAAGACAGAGAAACTTAGACCATAAGAAGTACATTAGGAGGAATGAATTTTAGACACAGTTAAACACACTAGTAGTCACAGGCACTGTAGTAAACAGCAGGAAGAAAATGCAGTATCTCACAGTGGTAGTGATGCATCAAGAAGGGACAAGAGCTTTGACATATTGTTGAGGAAAAAGGAAGAATTAGACACATTAGATTTAAGAACCTTTGACTATCAGGGCTCATACTAAAATAACTTGAAAAAGATATGGCTGGTACAATTGAGGTTATGTTGAATTAATTCTCAGCACAAGCTTCTAGCACTCACATGTAGGTGGAAAGATCTTCCTAACATACAATAAAGACCTAAATGTAAATTCTGATAAGAGATTTAAGCACAGACTATCTATCTGGATCTGACATTTTGCCTCTGAACCACCTCTATGTCCAATCTAATTGCTGTAGCAGGAAGTTGCTCACAACACACTTGGAAGGGGAAAAAAAGTAAGATACACCATGAATTACACACATACTAAAGTACTTCTTCCACAAATTTAACTTCAAAAGAGGAATTTAAAATTTGGTCTGATTTTACTCTGTGAATAACAAAGTCCCCAAACAATTTGGGGCAGGTTTTCTGTTTGTTTGTTTGTTTATTTTGGTTTGGGTTTTTTAAAGAAAAAGCTGTAGAATACGTAAATTGCTAGCGAACTAAAGCATTAAGTCATAATTGAGTATCACACAGGTAGATTCACTGCACTGCAAAGCTAAAACAGAAACTATACGTAAGTTAATACAGAAACATTATCCACAATATAGACCTATTTTTTCAAATGCTTCATGACATACCAATGTTTTTAAATTATGATAGCTATCTCGATGCCATTCACATTTCAGACCTTATAAAGACACACCAAAAGAGATGGAGTATCTGTAATACAAATATGACTTCCAACAGCTCAAGTAAGAAACAATTAATTGCAAGTAATTCATTCTGCATTCAAGATGGATAAAAAAGTGAGCTCAAAATATAACAACTGCTTTTAGATACTGCAGTCATCTTAATGAAAAACAGTTATCTGAGAAACTTTATGCATTTCAGTTATTTCACATTAAGTTGCAAGATGTTAGTCATAAAGATCCAGGACAAAGGGTCCTCCCAGAAGGAAAATGAAATGAAAAGGAAGAAAACAATATGGTCTAAAATGTACTCTCACAAAAAAGATTGTTTAGGTAAACCAGGGTCCTGCATCACTTTTGCAGGAGGCTCTCTTTCAGCATTCCAAAAAGCACAATGGTTACCTATCTTATAATGAAGGGAAAATATCAAATACAGAATTATGGTTTCCATGATAAGCTTCTACCCACAATAAAGACATAAAATCTGTTGTGTTATCTATTGTGTGTAATAAAATTATTTCAAAACACTGAATTATTTCACAGAATTGTTTAGTTTGGAAGGGACCTTTGGAGATCATTTAGTCTAACCATCCCTTATCAAAGCATCTAGATCATGTTGTCTAGGACCACATCCAGTTGGGTTTTAAGTATCTCCAAGGATGAAGAGTTTACAAACTTTCTGGGCAACCTGTGTCAGTGCTCAATCACCCACACAGTAAAATAAGGGTTTCCTGATGTTCAGATGGAATTTCATGTACATTTTAATTTCTGCCCTCTGCCTCTTGTCTTGCCTCTGGGCACTACTGAGAGGGGTCTGGCTCTGTCTCCTTTACCTCCTCCTATCACTTTATATACACTGATAAGATTCCAGGTATTATATATTACCAGGTATCTCAGGTATTATACTTATGGACATTGGTAAGATCCTTCTTGAGGATCTTATTGACAAGGTAAGCCTTCTCTTCTCTAGGCTAAGAAGTCCAAGCCCTTGCAACCTGTCCTCACGTCTGATATTCCAGTCCCTTAATCATCTTTGTGACTCTGCACTGGACTCACCCCAAGTAAGTCCTTATCTTTCTTGCAAATGGGAACCTACAACTTCACACCAATGTCCAGCTTCAGCAGTTGCGTAGAGAAGAATGATCACCTCCCTCAACATGATGAGGATTTTTTTAAAGAGGCCCAGTATACCGTTGGCCTTTTCTGCTGCAAGGCTGCATTGCTGCTTCACAGTCAGTTTCCTGTCCAACAGGACCCCAACATCCTTCTCATCAGATCTAAATCTTTACCTATTTATCTGTCTTTGTCTATTTAACCTTCTTTGAAAACTGCATGAGGACACAGAAAGTCCTTTAAAAACAATATGAGAAACATGAACTTGACATCTAGAAACTCAAGATCTGGTCTGATGAAGGTGCTAGTGATGGACATACACGAGGAGAAAGTGCTTAAATGAACATGTTTTGCATTTGTTTTTATGTGTAAGTACACACATTTGTTAATAAGAACTGTTTTGAAAAGTGGACTGATTAAAGATGTGGTTTATGTAAAATATTCTAGAAACCTGCTGATTCAAAAATATTTTGTGGTTTTAGATTTAATTGAATGTAATACATTCTTTGTTTTCTTACTGGTAGAGAAAAAATTCTATACACAAGATTTGTAAAACAGCAAGCACTAAGAATTATTTCTTCAGGATTTAAGGTCTCCATATTCTGAATGATAATAATAGATTTAAAAACATAGTCTCAAATATTATGCTCCAGATTTTATAAACTGAATAGCAAAAATATACCCTAAATCCCACAGCTCCCACCATTAAACATTTTGTTATTACTTGCAAGTAGAGGTGCTGAAATGTTACCTTTTCTAACAGTTGTATTTTTAAAAGGCAAAGAAATTATTAAGTTAGAACTTCTTGATATCCTGAAGTAGGAATTGCCCCTTGCATCATATTAATCTTGCTTATTTAAAAACATTCACTGCCATCTAGCATCAATCTTCCCCTCCTAAAAAAAGAAATTTAGTATTTCAACAAGTATACCATAGTATAAAGAAACTGCACATACAGCTGAATAGCTGTTCCACAGATTTAACTCATCTGAGAGAGCCTGAGCTTGACTTCTGGACATAGAACAGGTTTTATTTGTTAACTGTGTCATGAAAACATTGCTGCCAAAATGCAAATTAGGTCTCTTAACTTCTCCCCCTTCCCCCAAAGTTCAAGACCAAAAATTGAGATTTTAATAGACTTGACATTATTTAACACCTTAAAAACCATTGATTATTTTTTTTTAGGACACAATTAGTTTATGTTTAAATTAAAGTATAATACATACTTCACCAGATCTATCCTGTTGTTGATTGCAGCCCAGTGGAGAAGCGTTACGTTCTCTTTGTCTGGCTGTCGTACATCATAACCTGCTTCCACCAGCTCCCTACATCGTTCGTATATTCCATACCTTGAAGGAAAAAGATGAGATTTTTTTCAAAGCTTTTGCCTTAGATAAAAATACATTCAGCAAACACTATACATATGGTCACAATACAAAAGCTTAAACAGAAGATAAATGAAGAAACTACTTTCTGTTTCTATATGATTACAGATCTCTTGAAACATGAAGCTTCCACTGGCAGAAGTTATATTAATCAATTCAAGATTTTACAGAAAACTTATTTTCACAGCAAGCTACACAGCAGACTGAGGTTAAATATCGATCAGCAGTATACCAAATATAAATAAAGATCTTTTCTTCTCAGGGACTCCACTATATTTGTTTCTTCCACCTCTGTTCTCCTTTCCTTCCGTCTCTTGAAGACCAGAAATGCTTAGCCAACTGATTTGACAGTATCTCCCTAGAATTCAGCACATGACAAGATCATCAGGTCAATTACAAACACTAACAGGGCTCAAACACTTCCCATTTTTCTTCTCAGATAACAAATAGCAATCTTCCTGATATAAGTTAGTACCATTTTGGTTTTTTATACCACTTCAAAATTCTATACTTCAACATGAAATGATTTCTTTCATTAAAGATGACTACTAAATGTGAGTTAACTTAATTTGAAAAAAATTCTGCCTACATTTTGTAAGTTGAAACAAATCAGGAAGCCATCACCTAGGCATAATGTCTTGACACACTGTTTTACCACCTATTTTCAGTGGCAAGAAAAAGAACGCAGAAAGGCAAGTAAAGATTACATTTCAATGTCTGTAGAATCCATAGGGGTTTCTCAAGTTTCAAGGAAGAGAGTGATGTGTGGGCATACCTTAAAATCAAGATCAATGCCTTGTGACATCTGAATTTGGCTAGAGTAGAATTTTAATAGCCTCTCAAAGTTGGAATTTAAGTAAGTTTTCCTTATGCTGCTTCTATGTTCTACTTTCGGCAGAAGAGACAACCTTAGACAACCTTTGACTCCACTTGATAAGCTTGCATAACTGATGCAAAGACCTTTTTTCCAAGGTAGTTACCATTCTTACTTTTCCTTTCATGTATTTGAATGGATCCTCAATCTGGACAGCACTCCTACACGTCAAGTCTCCAATGACTCAAGTCAACAAACCTGAGGAATGCTTTCCAAGCCTATCACAGGTTTCAAGCACATAAGTTAGTTGAACAGTATTAAAAAATAAATACTAGGCATAACAGCCTACTTAGGATCATATAGTTTTCAATTTCTTAGGGAAGTTGCACTAGAAATTATGAAAAATGCCAGAAGTTGCTGTCATACCTATAATCTTTCCAAACATTACAAAAGATCAGAGTATTGTGTGCAGTAGATACTGGTTGGCAACAAGCCTGTAAAATTTGGTCCCTCAGACAGACCAAGTCAAAAAGCAGCAGGCATGACAAATTTTGACAACAAAGGTTTGGTTTTAATCAGTTGGGGGTGGGGGCAAGAGAAGAGGTTCAGCTTTACGAAGACTTAAAAATATGCAAGCAGCTAGACAAGATACACATGTTCAGACACATAAAACTGCCAGGAAAACTGTTAAGGTTCTATGTATGGCCAATCTTGAGGCACACTACCTCCCAAGTCCCAGTCTAGATCAGCAGCATGGCCTGCTGAGTGCTTGTTCAAATGGCTTAACATTCCAGACTTTCCTCCCCCTTAGCTGAAGGGGCCACTGAAACAGGTTAAGGCCTAATAAAGGCAGATCAGCCAAGAATGAAGAATGAGTAGAGACAGTAGGAGAAACAGGGGAAGAGAAGGACTTCTGAAGGCAAGACAGCAAATTCTGATCTTACTGCAGTAGAGTATCACACCCGCATAATACAACATCTGGAGGTAACCTGGAAAGCAATTCATATAGAACAGTAAAACACCCTTTCATTGACAAGCTGTTCTACTCCAGCCAGCTGTTCTGACAACCCCTACTACTGTAGACAAGCCTGCTGCTTCATTTAAACAATTAACTGAAGCCATAATTTAAGAAACTATTAACCTACAGCCTACTATTAGGTTTAACAGTCACCAGCTAAAAAAACTGTATTGTCTAAGGCTGAGTTTAGCTGACTCATCCTGCTTAAATAAGCAGTACTACACAACAAGAAGGAATTATATTAATAGAATATTCCAGGTTATTTGAAAGATACAAAGAACACAATAATGCTAACTTCTATAAAGTGTAAGAGGCAATCATGTAAACCTTTTGGGTTTTTTCTTACATGTACTGGTTTTGGCTGGGATAAGGTTAATCTTCTCCATAGTAGCTCCTATAGTGCTGTGTTTTGGATTTGTGACTCAAACAGTGTTGGTAACACACCCATGTTTTAGCTATTGCTGATCAGTGCCTAGAGTCAAAACCTTTTCTATTTCTCATGTTGCCCTGCCAGCTGGTAGGCTGGGGGTGCACAAGTTGGGAGTGGACACAGCCAGGACAGCTGAGCCCAACAGCCCAAAGGGATATCCTTTTTCACATGACACTGTGCTCAGCAAAAGCTGGAGGAAGGAGGAAGAAGGGGCACCTTTGGAGTTACAGCATCTGTCTTGCCAAGTAACTGTTAGGTGTGATGGAGCCCTGCTACTTGTAGATGGCTGATCACCTGCCTACTGATGAGAATTAGGGAATCAATTCCTTGTTTTGCTTTGCATGCACAGCTTTTGTTTTCCCTATTAAACTGTCCCTATCTCGACCCATGAGTTCTCACTTTTACTCCTCCGATTCATTTCTCCATCCTACCGGAGTAGAGCAAGCCAGCAGCTGAGTGGAGCTCAGCTGCCTACTAGGGTTAAACCACAACATCCCTAGTGCTCAGCTAGGGTAAGTCATACAAATTATTCAGATAACTGTCCTGTCAACCCAAAATTAACCTCCTTGAAAGTAATCTCTGATACCAACTCAAGTTTTTGTAAGACCTAGGAATAACCAGGCAACCCTGTCACAGTCTTTGGAGGAGGGGAGGCAGTGGGGTGAGTGGCAAGTGAGTGTTTGGTTTTCGTGGTTTGGTGGGGGGGTGGGGGTGTATTTTATTTTAAGCAAATATCAGAAAATGTTATGCTGCTGTCTGAAGAACTTTGTTCAAGAGATATGAAAACAGAAGAGAGCTGTGGTAAGCATGTAAATCAACTCTGCAGCCTGTTGCAGAATGCTGCTGCCAAAGCCCCTGCAGAAGCCCTGATAGGATGCTCCAATTATGCTCCACTGATGTTTACAAATACCACCCTCTAGAATTCACCCATATACTGCTGTGAGGCCTTGGGCAAAGACTACTGCATGGCTTCAGACACAACAAGGAGCAGTAAGAATGGATTCCTTATCCAGGCTTAGCATCATAAACTTCCTTTCCTTTGCACTGTAAGACAAACTGCAAGTCACATATTCTTCCTATCGCTTGGCCACAAAACAAAATCATGAAATTCTGCAATACATCAAAAGAGCCTTCCCAAGAAAATTAAAAACCCCCACTTTCTAAAAATTAAACTGAGAACAAGGCATATAGCAATTTTTTTATTTAAGTCACCATCAGTTTGTCTGTTCCTAGCAATTTATTTTGATATCTTGAACTCAATCACAACCAATTACAAAAGATGTTACTAAATTCTATCTTGTGTGTTACTCTGATTTATTATGTTGTCACAAGAGGACCTAAGAATCTAGGCAGGCAAAAATCTGCCTGGCAAAAAAGGTTAGGAATTTACAACAGTTTGCTCCTCTTCTGGAAAACATCAGGCTCTCTACAATTAAATAAAACACTGAGGCAGTCATGGTTTCTTGAGCTCTGTCCTAGAAATGCAGCATGCTTCTCTCACATACTAACGACAGTCATCTTCCATCAGTTTGCTGCAGCTGACTTCACCTTATCTTCTCCAAGGGTTCCTGACCCACTGTTAGATTACAAAATGAGAAAGTCAGCTACTTCAGAGACTCAGTATAATCACGCTTATTGTTACAAAGGGCTCTATGCCCTGCAAGAAAGAAGAATGGAGGAAAAGATTCAAATCCTCATAGAAGACTGATATATTAACAAATTTTCAGCATCTGGGTGAATTCTAGAGGGTGATGCTGTAAACATCGGTATAGAATATAATTAAAGCATGCTATTGAGCTTGCCTTGTTCTGAAAGACTAGTTCTTCTGGAGCAAAAATACTGTTTTGCAAGCTCATTTCACTATCACAGTCTCTAAGCCATTTTGGTAACTAACCTGTAACATTTTATTTGTAATTGCAGTTTAAAGATATTCTGAATTTAATACTTTAAAAAATAGTATCCTAGAAGCCTTTTGCATTTTAAAGATGTAATCCATTTTTTAATCTTTTGTCTGAAAGCACATTGACTCTTGGAAATAAGAGACTGCCAGCTTTGCTGCATGATTAACATAAAATTTGGCCACAATACTAGGAAGGAATCTCTTCAGTGAGCACATCACCATGCCAACAAACAGTAGGTAAGCCAAGAGCTCACTCCCTCATCTTGCTATAATTTTAATGCCAATCAAAGCTGTTTTAACTGGAAATGCAATTAGTAGAAAAATGATCATTTTTATCTTTGAAGTCCCATTCCCGTGAATGATGGTGGTTAAATACTAACAAAGCCTTTCATAGTTCTCATGTTTTTTCCTGTTAAACAGTAAGACAATTTTGTTTTCAACAGCAAAGGGGTAACTCAAGAGCTGCTTAATGAACTGTTAACAGTGACGCTGATCCACAAGAAAAATTCAGCTCTTGTGTATGTTCCAAAGCTTCAAATTGTCTAGACAATTGTGGCTATATTACTATTGTGGTTGAAAAAATCCTACTCTTCCATGTGAACTTCAGATATATTTCACTTTCAGCAACATGAGCAAACTCCATGGGCACAAATGACCAGGCAGAAAGAATGGGTACCTGTGTCACAGCCTGCCCATTCTCTCTTATGCATAGCTGCAAAAAGCCAGGAATAACTGTCACTCTGGCCAACTCTCACAAATTTGAGTTATTCCATATGTATCCCATCTTTTTTCTTATCAGTTACCCTATGAATTATGAGAAATGGTGAGGAAGAAAGCATGTTCTTAAATCAAATTTTCCCTAAGCATGATTCAGCATTTCACATATCATGCTGCACTATTTCGCCATGCACACGACTTCATGTTGAATGATCTCAGGGAATAAAACTAACAGAAAAAGTTAATCTTCTGATAATGAAATCGTAACACTTGAGCACAAGGAATCAATCTTCCAGAAGTCACAAAAGCACTTGTTAATATCATTAATGTTTAATAGCCACGTTCATAATGGTTATTTAACATCCTTTCAGCATAGCTGAAATTTGCTTAAGTTCACTACAAGCAGAAGGCACCTGCTCACTCTCAACAGAACAGAAAATCATGAAGCGAGGATTACTGTGTCTCAGATTTTGTTCTCCTAGTCATAACCTATCATAATTTTCTACACGTGAACATTAGCTACTTTCCAGAGTTTCATGGCTTAAAAGATATAAAACGAAGGCAGCAACTTCAGGTTATTATGTTAACACAGTACCCTTCCCAAGGCATAGGAGTTATGACCCAAAAGTTATGACTCCATCCTTGGATGACCCAGGGCTACCGGTGACAAAAAGAGATAAATAGGCATACCCAACATATCTCCATTAAATTTCACTTTTAAAGCACTTATGACTTGTTTTACAAGACTCCATTCCCTTGCAGCTCCAAACAAGAGCACTGAATGTTATCAGAGGAACAAAACCAGTACACAGCCCACCCTGATTTTATAGAAGCAGAAGAAATTCAAAGACCTTCTATGTAGTTATAGGCAAAGTACTTAAGCATTAGTATGCAACGTTCCTCCACTGCAATAGCAAAGGCAAGAATGGAAGATTGTTTTACTACTGCTCTGAAGACAGGTTTTCAAATACATGAGTGGCCTGCTTCTGTTGTCAGAAGCACAAGAGAAACTTTTTATGAACCAAACAATAACTGAATACAAGATGCCCAGAGATTACACACACATTGTAACATCTGCAAGATGAATGGCTAAGACACTACTGCTTTTAACACTACCTAGTTGTCCTTGGATATGTCTATGACAAAGACAGTGAAAAGTGTCCTTTATATCAATAGATATTAAAACCAAACACTATGATTTTTTACTTCATCACAAGTTTCCACAAATTAAATGCAGACACACACTATTTTTGGTATAAAGCATGCCTATGCTCCCCTATCTGTGGGAGAATTTATCAGGAACATAATGTGGAAAAAAATACAAATACTGATAAAGTCTTTGTAATGAGAACATCAGCTTAACTGCTCTTTTCTAGACAGTCTTAACTCCATTGTAAAAGATTATTAGATTTGTAGCTCCAGTGTATGAGCATGTTAGTTTCATGTGTCCAATCTACAGATTAAGGAGATAAAGCACACCAACAGTTCAACAAGATATGAAACAATGAACAAATACTTCTGGGAAAATGTGTGGAGCTTGCAAGCTCTTATTTTCCCTTGCTGAAAAACATAAAAGCAAAAGCATTGTTTTACTAACATTGTTTTATTACTCTGTAATCAAGTGCCAATAAACTCAGAATCTCAAATCAGAATTCTACAGTCAAACAGCATCTATGAAGCACAGATGAGTTTTAAATCTTTTGTCAATTTTCATCAGCATCATTAGACTTTAAGAAACTACATTCCCCATTTTCACATATGTTTAAGAATAATGCAATTAGTTACTTTTACAGGAGAAACTTTTAATAATGAAACACACTGAATAAGAACAATGACCATGAAAAAAATTGAGAAACTACTTATATGACTGCTTCCTACTTGGATTATTACAAATTTAATAGCCAACAATTCTATGTTATGGCAAAATGCACCTTCTTCCTGTCAAAAAGCCTCCAATTTAAGTGGTCTTATATGAAATGCCAAATCATTTTAGATGACAGATCAGTTTGACTTTTTTTTAACAGAGGAAGATACACAATTCGTTATTATAATTAGCTATCAGACCATTCCTGAGACCAACAGAATTTCATTTAACTAATGGTAAATACCCAGCTACAATTTGACTATCACACTAAAAAAAACCATTATACTGTCTTGGGGAGTTTTGAAGTGTTCTGGAAAAAGTAACTGTGCCATCAATCCTATGCTCAACACTACATGTCTGGACTTGGAAAAAAACCCACCCAAACTAAGAGACTGAAAATAACTCTTAATCTTCTTTGCTACATCTTGTTTGAACTTACTGAACTGCTTGGGAAGGTGAGTTCTGGGAAACAGATGAGTGGGCTTTTTTACAAAACTTTGTGGCATCTTACTTACATTAGCACTGAATTAAGAAGTAAACAAAGTCAGCAGATATTTTAATCTAAGTGAATATTGATTTTTGAGGACAAGTGGTTGAGCATAAGATCACCTATTCTTCATATATATAAAAGATGTTATATTTCTACAAAAATGAATAATTACATCATTTTGATAGGAACTATCTATCTTTTTAATAACACTGAATTAATACATTAGCAATATTATTTATTTTATTGCAAGTCTTATATTTGGTGGGTTTATTTTCTGCCTTAAATTTCAGAGATTTTTCTCTAAGACAGCTGTTTCATATAACATCACCTTCAAAGCCTAGTAAATACTTAAAGGCAAGTTCTCCTAGTCACGTAATTACTGTCTGGATACCACAACTTGATCATGTACCCATGCTGACAGTCCCCCCTTCCTGTGACATTAACCATTAGGGCTATGATATCAAACTATAGTCCTCTTTGGTGAGACGTCATTCTCTCTATAAATCACATCTCACCATGACTGAGAAGGAACATAACTGTTAACTAACAGCCCAGTTGATTCTTGTTTGAAAAGAACAGAAAAGAGTAACTCAGCTGAAAGCACAGACCAGCCAAAATTTGAGGGTTAATGTAGACAAATGCATTAAGAATGGAAGCACATAATTCATAAAATCACTTCTGCTGTCATATTTCCATGCTTTTAAGAAGCAGCTAGTTTGATCCTGTGCCAATACTTTCATTCCTAAAAATCCCCTCATAAGAAGATTACAGCTTGTAGTATTACTTGTGCTGGGTTTGTGAGTGTGTGGTGGGATTTTTGGTAGTGGTGGAGGGGGCTACAGAAGTGGCCCTGTGTGAGAAGCTTCTCGAATCTCCCCCAGCTCCAAGTCAGACCCGCCTCTGGCTAAGGCCAGGACAATTAGCAACAGTGGCTGCACCTCTGTGATACAGTATTTGGAGTCTGAGAGGAAGAGTGGTTGTGAGGAGTTGTAAACACCAAGGTCAGTGGAAGAAAGGAAGAGGAAGGGAGGGTTGTGTGCCAGTGCACAACACCCTGGAGCTTGTGGTGAGAAGGCAGAGCCGACCCCCCCCCGCCCCCCACAGCCCATGGAGGTCCACAGCAGAGCAGATGCCAACCTGCAGCCCACAGAGGATCCCATGCTGGAGCAGGTGGCTATGCCTGAACAAGGCTGGGACCCTAAGGGAAGAAGCCCATGCTGTTGTAGTTCAGTGCTAGGAGGACTGCCAACACATGGGGGTGACCCACACTGGAGCAGCACACAAACTGTTGTGGCCCATAGGAAGAACTCATAACAAAGTTTGTGGAAGACCATCTCCTATGAGAGGAGAACCATGCTGGAACAGGAGAAGAATGTGAGGAGTCATATGTGTGTGTGTCCTGAGAAGGAAGAAGCAGCAGGACTACCTTCACCCCCCATTCCCTGCCCCCTGCAGGAGGGGAGGAGGTAGAGAAATCGGGAGCAAAGCTGAGTCTGCGAAGAAGGGAGGGATGGGGGAAGGTGATTTAAGATATGGTAATGCTTCTCACTGTCCTATTATTCTGTCTGTTAAGTGGTGGTAGTGTTAGATTCTGAATTAAACTGATGGTTCCCCCCCATACCATGAGTTTATCTTTTGCTTGTGACTCTAATGGGTAAATCACCTCTCCCTGCCCTTATCTCAGTTCCCGAGTCTTCTGCTTTCTATTCTCTTTGCCAGTCCTGAGGGAGAAGGGGTGAGCAAGCAGCTGTGCCAGGCTCAGTTGTCCTCTGGGCTCAAACCACGACATACTATTCAAGTATTTAGAGCAACACACACAGAGTCAGCCAACATCTAGATCAGGAAGTTAAACTCCTTACAACTCAAAACAAAAGTGAAGTAAAGTACATACTTCCTAAACCTAAAGTGGGGCCTGTGTCACATGCAGAGCTGCAAAGCTGCTTTCAGTTTGAAGAGATGCCTTTTAGGAAAAAAAGGAAAGAAAAATTTTCTTTTAAAAAGAAAAATAGCTAGCAAGATACATAATAGTTTAAGCATTCAAATTTAACAATACAAGAAAAACAAATCTTAAAAACTGTCTTAGCTCACTGAAGAAAAGTGAAAGCAGTGGTGGTTTCTGAATGGTAAACGATAGCAAACTGAAAAGTACTGCCATGACAATTCTTCAGAAAGTCTTGTGAGTTAGTATGTACTACAGGACTGTGTAGAAGACATTTGTATAATTCGCCTGCATTAAGAATGCAATTATTAAATTTGCACACAGTTTACTCCTACAATCCTTTTTTGGAAATAAACTTAATTTCATAGCAGCACTGAAACTGCAGAATCAGACAGACAATGAAGGATGTTAGATACACATTCCTTCTAACCTACAAAGGAAACCCTCATGTTGGCATATCAGTGTTGTACACTTACCTCTTAATCATCACCTACAGAAAATAAACATCAGTGCCACCAGGAAGAAAACTGTGTGCTCTCTTCCAACAGCCTGTCCAGCAGCCACCTGTATTTACACCTTACCCTAATTCCTCCCACATATTTTCATACAATGCTCATAAATTTGGCCTAACAGTAATTTGGTAGAGTTAATTTCTGAAAACTTCCACTACTGTACCGACAAATACAGTTCACCTTCCACTTCACACAAATAAAAAAAAATCTTTTTTGCTATTTTTTAAACTAATACAGACACAAACAAAGCTAACACTCAAAAATAAACTTACTGTGTGGCTTTGACAATGTCCCAAGTGCTGTAATCATCCATGTGGCTTTTCCGTCCAAGAGATTCACTATATCCATGGTTGTAATGGCTTTGAGGCTTTATTTCCTAAAAAAGACACACTTGCCATTAGAACACCAAAGTCAGCATTACTCAAGTTTCTCAGATAAAAAACCCAAACAAACAACCTATACGTAAAACTAAAACCAGTACCCAAGTTCAGTGTACTATAAAGCTACCTAAATCTGAGGGTGGTGAACTGACTGGTCACATTCTACATTTTGCAAAGCGAGCTGCCTATGCTATTCCCTAGCATGGATTTCAAACACCTACCAGAAAACACCACTTGTAATAGAGTTCTGCCAAATCCTATGATGGGGTGTTTTCACAGAGTGTTAACAAAAAGTAAAGCTATGTGTTTTGGTGTGATTCTTTTGTTTGTTTTTATAAATGCAACATAGCATAACTAAAAAAAGGCTATAGGCCATAAACTGTGACTCTGCTACAACAAATCTTATACTTCAAATAGCATAGCCAAATACCTTATAGAAAATAAATAATTAGGAATCATTAATACCAAGGACAAGAATCTACTGTTACTTTATTGATTCTTCAACTTCAGTCACAGCTTGAACTTATCTGTGTATGTTTAACCTATGGCCATGACATGTTGTCCACCACATACAGCTCCCTACAAATCTAAATCTTTCAATGAAGGGCAACACTTCAACCCTCAATGCTTCCCTTGGTGGAATTTATATCAAAACACTGTACTGACAGATCACTAGGGCAGCAACATACCATTTTTCTTTACAAACTGCATGCATGTGACAGTCAGCCCAGCAAGCTGAAATTGAACGATGAATTTTATACAGCTTCTAGACAATTTTCCATTTGTTACAAATACCATCATGGATTGCCTGTTTTATCAACTGTGCAATTCAGCATAGCTACATAAAAAAAATGCATGAGAACTGCAACAGTGCAGCAAAAAAAGCAAGCTCCCTGAAAGTTTAATCATCAACTTAAATGCACTTTTAGAAATTATTTACTTTTTCTCAGTTTTCCCCAACAGTTTCATGAACAGAAATTTTGTTTCTTTAATCTATATGTGGAAGCACTTTGAAACACCTTATGAAAGGTGTATAATTAAGATTCCAACTTCCACTTAGTTACTGAAAAGAGTGAACATCTTTTTTCATTATTACACTAGACGGGTTTTTATTTTTTTGAAATAAAGATACCCTGAATCAAGGCAATCATGATACTTAACACCTAACCTTAACAAGGATTTGCAGTCACAAGTCCCCACCACCTCCTCTCCAAACAGGCATGCGTTGACCTGCTAGCTTAAGTACGGCATAGTAGGGCTAGGGAGTCTTCCTATTGCCAAGATGAGCAGGGCTCCCCATTTCTCACATTCTCTCAGTTGTGCAATAATTTCTGCAAAAGGAGCTGCTGGTGACAACAAGAAGGAACTTCTTCCTGTGTCCGGTTGTGACTAGGTGTTTTCTAGCTTCCCATAACATTAAGCAGCTCTCTAACAACTGCAATGGAAGGTTAGATCTTGAGCTTGCATGCAGACAAGTAAACTGCCCTTTGTTTTCTCTATCTGGAGTTTACTCATCTCAGCTGTATAAACATAATTGATTAACTGGATGCTGGTAATCAAATCAGTGATTACAAATTTTTCTTATTAAAGTTATTTTAAAGATATTTCTACCCTAAAATTATTACATGTATTACCTATCCCATTTAGAGAGGTAAAAGTCTGAAAACCACTTTTTAAATATCTTTTTCCAGATTTCAACATACTAAAGGGCCACTTAAGCAGAAGTCTCAAAAATTTTATCAGTTATAACCTCAGAGTAAACTATGAATAAAATAGTATAGTTGCAAATCCCAAAATTCTCAGTATTAATCTCAAAACCAAAGAACTTCATTGAGCATGTTTGTATTTGTTACATACATATACCTGTTTCAGACGGGGAAAAAAAATCAAAATTAAAGAGATTCTAATGCATTAAGTATATTCTGTATTACTAAAGTACCAAGTTAACTAGTAATTTATAGTTAGAGTATTTATGGCATTTTATACACCAAAAAATCTTTTTAGAAAAATCGTGTTTAGAGCTTTAAAACCAGAATATAGTAAACCACTGAGAACTAGCACAGCAAAAGTCTTCATTTTCAAAATAGATTTATTCTTATGCACAGACATTTCTTCTGAAAAATAAAGTTTTCAATTTCACACAGTATCCAAATGATCAGAGTATGTATTTTCTTGACCACAATGTTATTTTGTAGCATTCAATTTTTCTTTCTAAGCCTGAAAACCTAACTAGATTAAACAATTAAGCACTGCCAGGCCAGCAGGAAGGTTGCTGTTTTGTTGCCAGCTCTACAGGAGAGAGCATCTTAAAACTGTAACAGGGCATCTGCTGTCATCCAAACGACACATGCAACCAATTCTCTTACTATACAGAAACGTAACTTTACTTTGTATTTGAAGTCAGCAGTTGAACCAAACCTTTTTTTCACCAACTAAAAAAAGCCAGTGTCAACTGGAGTAAAAATGCTGGAAAGATACCAGAGGACATTTCAATTAAAAAAAACAAACAAACAAACAAACAAAACACCAAACATAAAAGAAGGCTAATTTCATTTTTTTTTCCCATGTGATTTTCTCTCTTCCATCATACTGGAAAAAAAGCAGGATTTATACCATCTCTGTTCACCTATTATTACACCACATAATTGCAGCAGGATTTTACATATCTAATTGTAATGCTCAGACCCTGAAAATCTAAAGGACAAGTCAAGTAGGCAGAGTCCAGAACTGGCTCTCTGCCCTAGAGCACCTTGATGAGCAGATAGTAGTTCAGAATATTTCTTAGCCTTCCACAGTTACTGGAAGGGGAAGAAGTCTCTCTTCTGGTTATTTAACCACTATCAAAAGCAAACTGAGGAACTTGGGTTATTTTTCAGACAGATGTTAATTTCCCAGGGAACACTATTTCTCTTAAATTGCATTTTCCTGACCACTTCAAGCACACAAACCAGGCTTCTGTTCCCCTAAGCTTGTACTAGCCAGCCAAGAGAGCCGTTCATTTACAAGCAGTGTAAATTTATGTCAGTCTAAATTGACCATGAAACCAAAGTCTAATGATAATAATGCTTTCACAAAAAAGTTTATGGGAACATAGCAAAATCTTAACTATTAACCATATAAATTCAAAAAAGTGAGAGATGATATTCCTAAACACCCCCTACAGCTCATCTCCTACTTTTACTAAGGACTTGAAGGTAATGACAGTACCCTTAACTTTTTTTTTAAAAAAAAAGTAATTTAATCTCCTTTTGTACTGATAGTATCCCTAAACTACTCTTTTTATGCTGAAACTTTTAATTTTTGCTGTATTAATGCAAAATAGCCGAAGTGATTAAAAAATTAGATTTGAAGTGATAGCAAATATGACTACATGACATAAAATGAACAAGCAAGAAACAGTTCTCTCCCTCTTTTCCCCCAGTATATATATTAACAGTTACAGTACTTTAAAATAAAGACTCATGACAAATATAAACTTAAAGTGAACCCTATTTACTGAAAGAATTGAGTTTGTGTTTTATATTTAAAGAGTTGAAACAATCCCTAAAATCATGAAAGGTATATGAACATCACAGCCTGCAATATCATACAACAGAGTCTTCTAACCACAGGCTGTGGAAAAAAGGATGACTTCAGATTGCCTGAAAAGAAATGCAAATAGGGCTCTTTTTGGAATTAAATCTCTTAAGACAAATTCCAGGAAAGCATATTAAATCTGAATCCTTACCCAATACAGTCAGATCTCTGCAGCCTGGACACAGATTCCAAAGTTTAAGAGTCAAAATAGACCATTTTTTTATCTATGCAACCCGACAGTTGCATGTTGGCTGCAGTAGCACGCTGGCTATGATCAGTACCATTCTGCAGGATGTAATTCTCACCTGGCATTGCAAATGCCTAGCTCACAACTGATCTGCCGAGTAACTTTTGGGTTCCCCAGTCAACAAGCTGTTAGGAATCAAAATAAAAGAGAACGTGCATCTTGTGAATCACAGTATGTTGAAATTTGAACTCATCTGGCAGCCAGACGCCACGTTGCTGGATGTTCACCTCCCCCTCCCCCCTCTGGTAAAATAGGGGAGGGACAAAAGAAGAAATCTGTAGGTTGAATAAAAAAATAATTTATGATAGTAACAAAACAACAGTAACTACAGTAAGTCCAAAACGGGTAAAATGCAGCAGTGGCTTACTGAGCATGGCAACATGTACACAGCCCACCCCCTCAAAGCAGCGATCCAACTGCACCAGAAAACCTCACCACACCGACCCAGAATCCAAATACAAGCACACGTGAGAGCCCACGTCCACCTATATACTGAGCATGATATCATGTGATATGGAATGTCCCAATGACCAATCGGGACCTGGTCCTCCAGCTGTGCTCCCTCTCAGCTATGGGCAGTGTGCCCAGGTGGCCAAGAAAGCCAACGGCATACTGGCTTGGATTAGAAATAGTGTAACCAGCAGAAGTAGGGAGGTGATAGTGCCCCTGTACTCTGCACTGGTGAGGCCACACCTGGAGTATTGTGTCCAGTTTTGGGCACCTCAATGCAAGAGAGATATTAAGGTGCTGGAGCAAGTTCAGAGGAGGGCAATGAAGCTGGTGAAGGGCCTGGAGAATAAATCTTATGAGGAGTGATGGAAGGAGATGGGACTGTTCAGTTTCAGGAAGAGAAGGCTGAGAGGAGACCTCATCACTCTCTATAGCTACCTGAAAGGACACTGTAGAGAGGTTGGTGCTGGTCTCTTCTCACAGGTAATTAGTGACAGAACAAGAGGGAACGGCTTTAAACTCAACAGGGGAGGTTCAGACTGGACATTAGGAAAAAATTTTTCACAGGAAGAGTGATCAGACAGTGGAATAGGCTGCCCAGGGACGTGGTGGAGTCACCATCCCTGGATGTGTTTAAGGGTTGTTTGGATGTGATGCTTGTGTATATGGTGTAGGGAAGAATTTTGTAAAGCAGGGCTGAAGGTTGGACTCGATGATCCCAAG